CATTGGGCTTTATAAAATAAATTAAGTGTGAAAGATGAATTTGGACACATTTATTAATTTCATAATACTATAAAACTAAAGATATGGGGCATTCAGTGCTCTGGATTCTGGTATCTGTGAGTTATGGAAACCACTGTAGAATTTTCTCCTAAAATATGCAGTCCAGTCTTGTATTTTTATAGGCTTAATGCCAAAAGTTTTAGTACACATAGTAAATTAATAAAACCCATTTCTGACATCATTTTTCTAACATGTTTCGATAGCTGAAGTTTTTATTTTAGTTTTATTGGCTTTCTTTCTTCATAGTCTCATTTCCATTATTCCTTGGAGGTTTGCCTATTGTAAATTAAACTTGAACTCTCAGTAACTGATAATTGTTGAGGTGACAGTTTCCAGTAACTGCGTTCTGCTGGGAAACAAGAAATTCCTATGGCTTTCTAAAATAGGTTGACCCTGTGGCTTTGGAAAAATCTTAATTGGTGACAACTATTTTGGTCTTCAACAAACAAAACAAAATAAAAAAAAAAAAACAGATTAGCAGAAGTCCAGAACTGTAGGATAAAATTATAAATCATTGGTATGTTATAAGAAAAAAATAAGTAATGTGCTTTAAATAACAAAATTTGTTGTTAATTAGAAGTTTTCTCTGATCAAGTAGGTCAGACTTGGTGTATCAGCTTTATATTATTGGAATTATAATTTCTCTATTCAGAGAAAAATTTGTTTTTGAAACAACTGAAGACTAAATTATGAAAGTTTAATACTAATAAGGACCGGTTTTAATTTTTTTTACGTTTGATTTTATTAAATATGCTCTCAAATTACTATTGCTTTTATGAATATGCTTATAAAACTAAGCATAAGTCAAGAATTATGAGAAATTGTTTTATATCCAGGAATAATGCAGTACATAAATGATATGTGTATTAAATATACTGCAAAAGTTTAACTGCATTGGGCAAGTCTGCATAACATTAAAAAATAAGAATTTACCATGATACAATTAAACTGCCCAAACTACAAAATGCAAGACATCTATGAGCCCAGTTGTGGCTCTTCTCTATTAGAATGAATTGATTTACTTGTCAGATGACATGACATATGTCTTAATACCTCTGCTAAGAAGTTGAGACCACTCACTTGGCTATGGGTTCTTTTCTTTTTCATTTAACAAATAATTATTTCCATTTATGTATATGGTACTACATTAGATGCAATAGGTAAAATAGTTCAATCTTGGGACTGTTTTGACCTAATTCAATGTTTATTCAACACTACCCTCCCATTATCTCTGTTAAAGATCTGGTTTCCAGCATTGTGCAAAATATTTTTCAAAGCCATCTATGACGGTGTGTGTCTCATATGTGCACCTCATGGAAGTGAACATTTTGAAAGATGTGCCTATCTAAAATCATACAGATTGGCCATAGTTGAGTAGCTCAGTTGGTTGGCACATCAGAAAGGTTGCAAGTTCAATTTCCGGTCAGGGCATATACCTAGGTTGTGGGTTAAATCCTGCATCAAGGCCTGTATGGGAGGCAACCAATTGATGTTTCTTTCTCACATTGATGTTTCTCTCTGTCGGTCCATCTCTCTCTCTCCCTTCCACTCCCTCAAAAATCAAACATATCCTCAGGTGAAGTTTAAAAAAAAATCACACAGGTTCGTTGAGGAACATTTGGCAAATTTTCTAGGTTCATTTCACTTAGAGCAGAAAGTTTTCAGTGTGCATTTATTATCTGGATCTAGTGTTGTGATTATAAAGTACCATACAGCATGAGGAAGGGAATCTTTTCTTCACAAAAGTTGATTTAAAGTAATTTGTTTAATTGATTTGTTAGATATGTTAGATAATTGATATGTTAATTGAGATGTTAGATAAAATACATAACTTGTATGAGTACATATTAAGTATATTGAGTCATTTTTTATTTGTTTTTGTGTGAGATCCTCCAGATACACTAGTAAGAAAAGAGCTTAAAAAATATACATCTTTGTAAATGTAATTTATCTTAGTTGTACATAATTCAAGAAATTGCTTTATTTTTTCTTTATCCACAATTATAGCTAAAGAGAAACTAAGTTTTAAGAAGTGGAAAACATCACAAGATGGGGATAGTAATCACCTCTGTGAATTTGAGTATCTGGAATTTTAGAGTTAGAGCATTATTCCACAGGGTGGCAGTAATAAAATATGAAATAGGAGGGATACCATCTACAAGCCCAAGGAAAATTAGTGGGTAAAAAAATCATCTTTTAAATTTTACTAATTCAAGTACTTACAACTATAAAATGTGTTTGTACATGTTAATGAAATCAATGAAATTAAAATTCTTATTTTATAATTATCTAGAGTGTGTAAAGGAAGCCAAAATAAACATTGCCATGACATCTGGTATTGAAATAATTTTTGTGTTGATTTTTACATTGTCTTATGAGAAATTTAAATTTATGAGTGGTTCTTAGTAAACTCCTTCTTAACCAAATATATATTTTTAACATTATTTCAGAAAATTCTAGGATAATCTAAAATCATTATATATGTTTGGTGTTACGTGTGTGTGTGTGCGCGCGTGTGTGTGTGTGTGTGTGTATCCACCAAGAGAAAAATAAGAATCGAAGATATATTAGAGTCTGTAAATATTGTAATGGTAAGGCAGTTACAAAAATTATAAAAAGAAGTTTTCACTCATAATTCTTGAGATTTTAGTAACCATTGGGAGTTCAGAAAATTTCAGGAAAAAAGGTGTCTTTAAATATGTTGATAGCAAGTAAACTATAATTGAAAAATAAAAATACAATGTTTTAATAAAGATAAAAATTTTAAAAATAAAAATTTTGACAGTAAGGCAAATATAAATTGAGAAAAAGGGACATATTATACATTTGTTATATGGGACTGATTCAATAGGTTAATGTAACTTATGTTCAAATAGCCAAGGACCTAAGTGAAAAATGAACGAAGACAGAGAGGCAAAAATGAGTGTGTTTTTAAATTTTATGAAATTATAATTGTGATAGATTGTACACTTCCACACTGAGCCCTGACCCTGAGTTCCTTAATTGGACTTCTAAGGGCTCAATCGGAGTTAGGGAAAGCTTCTGTAGTACAGCAAATCACAAGTTTTTTGTTTTTTGTGGTTTTTTTTTTTAACTAGTATGCTTTTTGACTGATTTAAGCGCTTATTTGGACTATTTGATGAGTAACAATGACATGGTGTATCTAAATGTAGACTCCATATTATTTGAAATGCTTGCCTTTCAGAGACATATTAGCTGTATTTCTTTCTTTTTAAATTTAATCTTATTGTATTTTTTTCCATTACCATTCATTTCTTTTTACAGAAAAGTATCTTATGCACAGTGTTTCACTAGAACACTGTTGTGGGAACAGGAACAACTAGAGAAGTCAATGCTTTAAGTTGAAAATTGGAGACATGCTTTCCAATGTTAATTACAAATGCGATCCCCAAGTGCTTTCTGGAGCATCTGGATTTTTTCCCTGCCCTGAATTCCTGTGACAATTGTTTAGGGTATGGCAGTTAAATTGAATTATCAGTAGGGTGGCCAACCTGTGAAGTAGATTCCATTTAGGAGTAAGTTCAACTGTGTAAGCACTAATTCATTTCTCTCTCTCTCTCTCTCTCTCTCTCTCTCTCTCTCTCTCTCTCTCTCTCTCTCTCTCTCTCCCCCCCCTCTCCCCCTCCCCTCCCCTCCCCTCCCCTCCCCTCCCCTCTCCTCTCCTCTCCTCTCCTCTCCTCTCCACGGCCTATAAAAGGATCCAAACAAAGAATTTAAGAAAATCTAACTGTTGCATTTTGAGAGGAGAGAGAGAGTAAATAACACAGAGAGAGAGACAGAGAGAGAGGAAGAGTCCCTAGTAGCTAATTTCTGTTACCCTAGAACCAGTTATTTATTCTTACAACTTGAGGTGATTAAAACTCAGTTGTGACCACCAATGGCTCTTTACATAACTGTTAAGGCAAACCTTGACGATTTAAGCGTTGCTCACATAAAACTTTACAAGTGAAACATCAACATCCCCAATGTACATTTTGGGACAGGGTTTGTTATAATGTGATTTCTGTGTGACCAAGACAAGTGAAAGAACAGAGAACAGATGTGAAATCTCTTTTGAGATTTGTGCTCTGCAATCATGTGGAAAAGATGAAACAGATGAAACAATTAGAAAATGTCAATTCAAACAATCGACATGAAGTAGGGAAAAGCTCTTAACATAACAGTTCAAACCAGAACTTGAATCATGGAAAAGTGATTTTCTCCATGTTTATCTTTAGAAAAAGCTAAAATGTGGAACTTAGACTATTGGTTTTAGATTACTAAGTTGATTAAAATCAGTATGTGTTAAATAGCCACTTTATTATATATTTAACATCAATAAATTTATCCTCTATATTTTATATTATTTAAATTTAATGAATTTCAATAAATATCTAAATTACTATAATGTAAGAAGAATCTCAATTAAATTTTTAAATATTAGCATACTTTATGGCATGTTAGAAACTATTTTGATTTTCTTTAAAAATCCTAGGAGCTTAAAGCAACTAAAAGTATAATGACCTCTTTTATGAACACATTTTTATAACCACGTACATTGAAATAGGGAAATTTTTTCTTGTGCAATAACTAGATATATGGATAATATGTTTTAACCATGTAAGACAGGTGAACCTAGATTGGACCTCAAAGATACTATTTCTGCTAATGAATCTTAGTGCTGTTCCTGCCATAGGACTGGGGTATGGTACAGAGCACCTCAGTACTACTTCATACAGAGTAACTGAAGTCTAGAGTCTATGGTGATATTTTTCCCTCTGGTGCCTTCCAGAGTACTTTACTGATCTCAGTTTTGCTTGCCGCATTAATCAACTGAAAAACATGCTTTTATTTATTCTTTTACTTTTACATGCTATTTTGTTGTGCAGTCTAATTAAATAGTATGCAGCCTATCAGATGCCTATTTTTCAATTCACTAGGTACGTGTATTCACGTTTTCTGTTGGTCAACATAATTATGACAGAGGACCTATCCAGTGGATGGCCTGTGAAAATAAAGGTAACATCTTTCTTCTTGGCCACATTTTATTTTAAAAAAGTAATTTGTTAGTTGTAGTTTCTATGTATTATTTAAAATAATATAAAGTTGTAGCTAATTTTTATAGGAATTACGGCAAGAATAAGATACTCAGCATATTTTATATAGGGAAACCATGCAGCACAACAGACTTTGTGTTACATTATATAAAAATTTAGACATGGGTCATATTATTATAAATTTGTAACAGGATATATTTTATTGAATGGTGCTTAATTAGTCTTACTAAATATAACCTTACATTAAAAAACTAAGAATGAAAGAATATCTGAATTACATAAAACTGCGACATAAGAGAATGTGACACGTAAACTTTTTATCTGGTTAAACTAATGGCTTAAAAAGTGTATTTTTGTACATTCCTAGATCATCCCTATTTTGTGTAGTAAATCCATATTTCCTTTGTACTCAGAAAAATACAAGATGCTATTTGAAAAATAAACAGTGATGACATAGCAACAAAAGTAGCCTACGTTTATTCTGAAATTTATATTTAGGCAAATATTTCACATAAATATTGTGATCAGATACTCATGGTCATGCATCTCTAATAATTAATTAAAATATTTTTTAATGATACCAGGTTTCCTACCACTTAGTACAAAAATAACACATTTATTTTATACAATGTAAGATAATGTAGTAAAATTACTAATAAATTACACATTTGTTATGAATATTAACCAAACGTTTTTAAAATTTATCAGTTGCGTTAATATTTTAGTGTTTGCACAATTAAGGTGAGAAATGCTTGATAATCATGAGCGTTTATTATATTTTCATAAATATATGTGTATATATGTATGTTTCAGGTTATTATTATGAAATTCCTTCCATTGGAGCAATAAGAATCAATACTCAGGTATGGTTTTTAAAAAATTGATTTGTTTTTTAGTTATAAGATATTTTCTGCTTCATATATGTGCAATATGCAGAAAATAGGTAAAGATGAAAATATTGTCTTATATTTATACATAATATACATATGTAACAAAATGGTGAATAATGTGGCAATATATTGGTTCTTCTTTCAAAAAAGTTCCAAGTGTTTTCAAGTATCCTTATAAATAAATATATTGTTCTTCTTTGTATGATGTGAAAAACATCATACAAAATAAATAAGATCAAAATTACTCATAATCTTATCCCTTGTAATTTGAACTTTATTTGATTGCAAATAATTTAAATGAATTTTTTCAAGTTGTAGGTACCACATAGAAAACTAAACAAGGCCCTAATCAGAATTTAGATATGTCCCCAGACAACCCCTGTAAATATATTTAGTTGTTTAAAATAAACTTACAACAAAGAGATGATTTTTCTACAGCCATTTATTTGAAAACATGCCTGCTAAATAACTTTGTACATTGAAACAATTATGTTAATATAAATATATTATTCTAAGGGTTCATAAATTACTATTTAAATCATTACTCAATCTTGAACATAACTGAGGGTCTTTAAAGTAGACTAAGTCAAAATTTAGCAGAAATAACATGGATTTGTGGAAATGAATACTGGATACATTGAATGTTGAAATGAAACAGCAGCTGCTTTGGAGTCTGATGTCTGGATTTGGCACAGCATCACATTTATTTTTTGATATGTTTAAATGTAGTTTTGAATTTCAGCCAAACAATCTGTGATATGAAAGCAAATACATGGCTGCTTTATTATTTCAAATTTGTACAATTCCATCCAGTAAATCACAGAGCCTAAAATAGTTTAGATTAACATAAAACAATTCACAAGGAACGTATTTCACTTATCATTGGCTCTATCACAGAAAGAGAATGTTTTCATTGTTACTAGGAAAAACTGGAGTAGATATATTGTATAAATAATATAATTCAAATAATGTTAGCTCAAAGTATGCAGACATACCATTAAAGGAGTGCCCAAAGTAGGAATTAAATGATTACATACTTACTGTCTTAATTTGGATTCTGTATTCATTTTAAACTCTAGATTACTTTTCTTCTGTGGAAATAGTTTCTTTGACACAGCATTCTTAATTTTCAACCACTTCACTCTTTTTTTTAAAATAAATAGGAGTATTTGGATGTTCTGGGAAGACCGATGGTTTTAGCAGGAGACAAAGCTAAGCAAGTCCAATGGACAAATGTGTACCTGGATGCGCTGGTAAGAGGTGGTTGTTGAATTAAAAACTGTCATAGTAAAAGCACACAGCTGACTTCTCTGTAGTAAAAGCACACAGCTGACATTTCTCTTTTCCTCTTCATTGAACCTTTCTAAAAAACCTTCTATCAAACCTTTTTTTTACTAGGATTTACATAATTTACATATAAGGCTATACTTTTGCATAGTAGAGAACTACAAATATAAAGTGTTATTTTCTTTTCTATTTGATCCATTGAAAATGTAATATTTCTAACCTAGAATCTTGAATTTATGGGCATATAATAACTTTTTGAATGTCTATGTAAAAAAATGCTGAAGTTCATGTGAATTAGTATCTATTACTACAGGTTTTGAACACGAACTTTGAAGTATTTTTAAAGTACACTTCAACTAGCAGAAACATGTGTATCCTCCACAAATCTAAACAGATCCAACAAAACTCAGAAGTGCAGGTACTTAGGCAAAAATCCTACCTTATCTTTTCCTGACTGGTGTAGATTTCATCAGGTGGGTTGTCATCCCATAAATCAAAGGGTCGCTGGTTTGATCCCTGGTGCAGTTGTGGGTTCAGCCTCTGGTTGGGGCACCTATCGATGTTTCTCTCCCTCTCTTTCTCCCTCCCTTCCCCTCTCTCTAAAAAATAAATAGGTAAAACCTTAAAAAAAAATTTACCTTACACTGATTTTGTCACAAGCCTAATCACCTCTTCACATATAATCTCTTGCTTTAGGTCAACCCCAGATATTTATAAAATAGGCCACTGAGGTGATCAAATCTGATATGGAATAACAAAACATGTTAAGTTGTCCATTATGCAATTAAAATTTCAAGAAGGTACTCCATTTTATTTTAAGGTGGTGGTTCTCAAATTTGGGTGACTTTGCCCTTCACAGGTCACTTGGAAGTATCTATAGGTATTTCTAGCACAGTGACTGAGGCAGAAAGGAGTTTCTGGCAGCATCTAGTAGATAGAGGCCAGGGATGCTGCTAAGCATCCTAGGGGGCACAGAAGAGTTTACCTCCCCCACCACACACACACAACAAAGAATCATCCAGTTCAAAATGTTAATAGGGCTAAAGTTGAGAAATCTTGTTTTAGTGTAGTTTTTTACTTTCGTTATATGGAAGTTATAGATAGCAATTATATTTAAGATTTATTCATATGCTTAATCTTAATAAATTTATTAATGGCTTTACTAATGTAATATATTAGAATCGAAATACTAATACTGAAAAGTACATGCTGATTCAATAATCCTTTTTCCTACTTGAAATTCAGTTAAATGATGATTCCACTTTTCTGAATGCAATGATGAACCCAAAGGGCAAAATGTAACCCACTTAAAATTACTTATCGCTTGGTTCTTGTAAAATAAACATATACAGGAAGTTAGAAGAAAAATAGGCACTATTAGCAGCAGCCTTGCATGCTATGACAGATAAACTGAAGCTTGCTTACCTCAGGCCCTAGTTAAAATTACTTTCCAGTGTTCCCTCTTGACATCACATATTTATTTAAGGTCACATGGTCATCTACAGCTATGGTCAAATTTTTCTCTTTCCCAAACCACCATAGTACAGAGTGTGATAGGAGCAGTCAATAATTATGCCCTGTTGTATTTCCTGTGACCAGAAGTTCGTTAACCAACATGTGTGCATGGTTGGTAAAGTTCTTACTGATATCACAAATGTCAGTAGGAAGACATTTGGATTCTAAATATGCAGTTTCTATAAGCTGAAACTAAATGTTAAAAAATAATGCACCGAGTATTCTTTTTACTGACTTGAAAAGTGACCCATCTTGTATTTCTAAGTATTTATAATGTCTGCACATAGCAGATTTAAAACGTATGCTGGTCAAAATAACAGTTATATTAAGAAGGAAAAACTAAAAATATTCCAAGACAAAATATAATAAGAAATAATGAGAAAACAAAAAGAGCTCTGGAAATTTAGAAGAAAGAAGCCATATATTTGGGGATGAATTAGGGTAAGATTTTTAAAAAAGATGACCTATTAGCTGATTTCTGACTTCAGGTGAGGTTTCTCTCACAGGCGATGAGCAGTGACCCCCACACGCAGTGCAGTGTGAAAGCTCGGGAAGTGCTGGGCACGTTGAGGGAATGGCATCTCAGTAACTTTTGGAGATAATGGAAGATAAGGACAGAAACAAGACTGGGACAATATTGGGAGATAAAGTAAGGGTTTTTTTGTGTGTAAAAAGAAGCAGAAAAGAGCTGGACTCTAGAAAATAAATATCAAATAAATTCCAAAAAAGCAGAAATCTTATTTAATTTCTCTTTTTTATCCTTTGGAGACTTGTACAGTGTCAATAGAGTACAATTTTTGTCAGTTTTATGAATAAGGAAATAAATGAAAACTAGACACTAATAAGCATATCCATCAATTTATTTAATATATTAGTCTAGTATCTCATTTTAGAACACATGATAATATTTATAAGCCATGTAAGATACTCTATATAAGTGCAAAGTGACCCAAAGAAAAAGATTACATCTACATATGTATTATTTTATACTATACTAAGATGTATAAAACTATGCATATATATTATAACTCAAATAGAAAATTTGCCAAAAGGAATCTTTTTTTTTAAAGCATTATATATTTAATTGATACATACGATAATATCCAATGGACACAGGAAAGAGTTGGCATGGTTGCCTACCTTTTGAAATATAACACCATGTGGCCTCATTCCATCCCACGGCTTTCAGGACCATCCAAGTACAATTGACTTTCAGATCTATGGAACCATCTGCTAAGTAACATACACTTGAATTCTCAATTACTTCTCTACCTATTGATTAACATCTCTATTTGGCTATTTAATAAACATAAATGTAACACAACCAAAATAGAACGAATGATATGTCCACCCCCAAACCTCTTTTTCCAGCATCTTCTTTTTTTTTCATTTTATTTTAATTTATTTTTTCAAATGCATTTGTCTCTGCCAATCCCCCACCACTTTCCCTTGCCCCCTCCCTCCTTCCCTCCCTCAGCTCTCTCTTAATGTATTATCTTTTAGGTACTAGTTTTATGAATGATTTGTAATCTTGATTTTATTGAGATGAAACATTTTCATTGTGAATGTTAATTTGCATTTTTAATTAAGGATGTTTACATTGTTTAAGACTAGAGAGCTAATGTGTATATCATTATATACCCAATTCTACATAGTTGTTTTCTTATTTTATTTGCCACCCCCAAATTTGCTATTCTGTTCTGCTAAAAGTCTCTCTTTGATTGTCCTTCCTCACCTGATTCAGTTTCCATTGTTCTTGGCACTTCCCAATGTACAGTTTTAAACTGCAGCCTAAGACGGTTTCTCCGTGAGATGACGCTGTTACTATAATGAGAACAGGGGTGGTGAGCTTTGGGTTTAAAGTTATTATTCACAAGAAGATTCACTAATGTTGTCTGCTAACATCATTCAAGAATTTAAAAATTATTTACAGAGTGACTGTTAAAATGGTGTTTGATATGAAATAGTGGTGATATAAATTGGGTTAGCCAAAACGTCTGTTAAGTGTTTTTTGGTAAAATAAAAGATACATTTTTCATTTTCACCAATAACTTTATTGGTTTAGATACTTTGAGTATGTTGGCTAACTCCCTTGTGGTATAATATTTATTGTTTTCAATTAATTTCTCAATTTGATCACTATCAGCTCTAACTGGTTTACGTGACTGGGGAGCAACCTCCAATGAGAAATCTCCAGCATGAAACTTCACAAACCACTTTTGACATGTATGATCAGTCACAGCACCTTTTCTATAACTGGACAAGTCTTTTTTTGCATTTCAGTTGCATTTTTACCTCTCTTGAAATAATAAAACATAATATGCTGAAAATGTTGCTTATTTTCTTCCATTTTCAATATTAAACTGACTACACAAAACTTTGCCAATTTTGATTTTTTTAAAATGCACGTTGATATGACAGCTGTCACAATACAACCTAACAAAATTGTTTTGAATGAAGTTAAAGACAACTAAGCAGTACTGGAGCCAACTTACAGAAAAAAACAAATGGACTTTTTGGCCAACCATATATATATATATACATATTTGCTGCAGATGACAGTAATAAAGAAAAGGCAGCCTCTGACTTGAAAATCAGTTCACTTGGACTAATCCATGGGTTCATTTAGTATATGACATGATCTATGTACAGATTTATTATTGTTTTAGTAAACTGCTTTATGACTAGTCTTTCATAATTGATGCCTGAAGTTTTTCTTTTATCTGCATCATTTTGCTTTGTCAAAAATTACTTTTTATTTTAGGGGTTATTTAGAGTAATATAGCTTCTTTATTTTTTAATTGTATTTTATTGACTATGCTATTACACTTTTCCCAATTTGTTCCCCTTTGTCCCTTTCCAGCCCGCCCTCCCTACTTCCTCAGGCAATCCCCACAGTGTTTACTAAAAATACCCGGTAAATGCAGGACTAATAATACATTTCTTCCATTCATAATGTTATTCTACTATACATTCATGATTTAGCATGAAGCCTTGGGCTTGGTAATGGAAAAAAAAAAAAGAATGAAGCTACCACAAAGGAAGGTAAATAGATCATTTGAGAACATAATATTTTAGTATCCCTCTGCTCATGGAGTCCTCTGATGTTACATGAACTATCACCGTCAAGAAAAGAGTCAAGGGGCAGGGTTACTGAAATATTGTGTTAGTTGATTTTTTTAAATTTTAAGTTGTTTGCAGTGGTCTTGTAGAGTAATATTTTAGATATTTCATGCTTCAATAGCTACTGAATAGATCTTTATTATTTCTATTATTAGTTTTATACAGTTCTTTGTATAGCATAAATTGCAGTGTCAGATATCAAAGGCTAATGCAATGTAAGAGACTTTAAGTTGTAATTTTAATTTGCCTTTTTTCTCTGAATCTATTTTAGGAACTGGGACTTGTCATTACTGGAACTCTTCCGGTCTTCAATATAACTGGCCAAGTTGAAAATAAGACAAACTTAAAGGTTAAGAGTTAATTGATAAAATTAATAATAATAAATGATAAACTATGACTTTGAAGCTCAGTGTGGATATTTCTATAAGGAAGTACATACAGTGTAACTGTCTGTGGGTCATAAGTAAAAGGTAACAGCTGCTTATGTGATAACCACCTGGGAAAAGGAAATATAGGTCAAGTTCTCTGTTCCCCCAGAGACAAAATTCAACTTAACTCTGTTTAACTGTGACCCAATGAGAACACATAACACAAGTTCAGGCTTAAGGAGTTATTATGTGATAAAAGGACAGTGCTATTGTGCGCACATTTTTAAATGCATCTATGATATTCATGGATTTCAGGAAGAAAATCCAAACAGAATCATGGTAATGTCTATACCACATGCACATAGGTATATCTAATGAGTTGTTCCTCCTCCAACTCTCATTTGAACAATTGTTTTTTTATCATCATGTAATTTCAGAATCTGATTTAAGTAAGTAATTCTTTTTGGGGTTTTTTTCCTCTATCTTTAAAGTTCTGGAAAATACTTGAGTTTCATAAAAAATATTTATTTCTATAGCACTGGTATATTATCAATGCAATAAAATGTTACCCATCTAAAGTTCTGGAAGTTCTGAAAAACATTTATCTTTTACTTGTTAATTTCCATTTCTTATTTTTTAAGTACTTTTGATTTGAAAGTAGGGTTGCATTCTTATTTCTTAGTTTGCATCAAAAGGAAATAAAGAATGCCAGGGAATACTAAATTTTCATTTTGCGGTTGGGTCACATTCTGATTTGAGGGACATTTATTTCCAGTTTATGATATAATGAAACCTATTGCACATAAGCATTATATGTTTAGTTATAAATTTCAGCTGAGCTCCTTATTTTAATAATGTAACCATAGAAAACATTGGTTATTCCTCTTTGGAAGCCCATTACCATTCTTAAATATCTGTGGGTCATAATATCATAACCCACAAAGGGGTAATTCTACATCTCCTCATATGATTGTATAAGAGATTGCTTTAATTTTGTATTTTGTTCAAACTAGGATTGGTTCACAGGAAAACAGCATAGTCGTTGACATAACTTTCTCATTCTGTGCACCTACACAAAGTTTAGATTCCTTTCAATAACTATAGACTGAATTTCATAATTTTCTTTGTAACATTTCCATTTATTTTACAATTTATATAATTATGTTTAATATTTAAAATTCCTGATTTTATATTTTAACACCATTTCCATTTTTATGTCTGATAGAATATCCCGGTAGCAGTTTGCCAACTGCTACCAGTCTTCTTGACTTGCAACTAAACCTATGTTGCGTGTTCTTTGGTATTTAATGGAAATTAGCAGCAAGCAGAAACAGTGTTTTGAGGATTTCTGCTACTTTATTACCAATGAATTCCCATACTTTTCAGAATACTTATAAATAAACAGACACTATCAACAGCAAAAATCTATAGTTTTCTCATTCCACATTGCCCCACATCTTTAAGCTAGACATTTTTGCATTTCTTAATGATAGTTCCCCACAAAGTCAGTCCATACTCACATGCATAGACATACTCACAGAGCTACAGCTGCGGACTGTACAGTAACAATCAAGTTAAGGACTAAGGGTAATGAGTACAAGAAGTATCAAATAAAATTTTTGATATATATTTTAATTTTTTAACATCAATCATCAAGATTTTATTTTTTAAGCTAAATAAAAAGTGATAAAATTGTGGGAAAACAGTCAAAGCTGAGAATCATTGTAAATCATTGTAAATTGATGCATACATACATAAATTTTATATACATGGAATTATGTATATATAATTTTATATATATTATATATAAATAATTTGAGCTAGTATGGCATACAACCAATGTCAAGCAAAGGGATAGATATAGTTATTGGATAGGAATATGTATATTTTTGGTATAAAACACACTACTGTTTTGCTATCTTATAGAACCAGCTGATTCTTGGTGTGATGGGAGTTGATGTGTCTTTGGAAGATATTAAAAGACTAACACCACGTTTCACAGTAAGATGCAATTTACCTTTTTGATATCTTTCTATTTTAAAACTCTGTCCTAATTTAACTTGTCCATAAAGCATTAATTCTCAAAATTATTTGCAGTTATATTAGCAAAGGAACTAAAGATTAAAAAGATCCTTAAAATAAAAAATGAAGATACTGTGTTATCCTTTTTCATGCTTTAAAATATGTATTTAAGATTTTTTTAAATGAGAATCTCTCTCTAAATGTTTGTTGTTGTTGTTGTTTGTTTCCAGCTGTGTCCTAATGGCTATTATTTTGCAATTGATCCTAATGGTTATGTTTTATTACATCCAAATCTTCAGCCAAAGGTATGTATATAAGTTGTTTACAGTGATTAACGTCCTCTAAAGTTAATGATTAATGTTATTAATAGGTTTGTCATTTTGAAATATATCATTTCAATATATAGCTCTAAATAGAAGGGAACATTGTTCTATCTATAATGTTAATAGATGAGAAGACCACAGTTTATAATATGTGAAGTATGAAAACACTTTTCATTTCCTCTTACCAATTTAGCTATCCAGTATCTAGCTAAACAAGAATTTTACCGCCAGTGCCTGACTTCCACATATCCCACTTGAAACTTTGTTTAAGTCTGTAAGATAGTGAAGGCGATTGCCCGACACTGGTTTGAACTGATAAATATAAGCGATGTTAAACATGATTTTTTTCAAGGGAAAAATATGCTTCATTTTATTCAGACCTTTATGAAGAGTTATAAACCAATTCAAAAAGTTAGCAACTCCCCTGAGGCATTCAAAATAAAATATAAAACACTTTTATCAACCTGTTCTTATAGCTGTTGCATTCATATACATATGCAAATCAATGCCTATTTAATCCTTATTTCAAATTGTCCTACAAAGGAAAATGTCAACAATATAGTATGGCTCTTCTTACCTCATTTAGATCCCAACTTACTCATTATATGCAGGTGTAGCAACTAACTGCTTAGTTGTATCTGTTAATATCATCACACCAAGCATTTATATATTCAGAAATATAGTATTTTCTTCAAAATTACCTTCTTTTTATTTTTCCATCATTTTGCATGTAGGATATAATACTATTTTTGTAAATGGTGTGCATAGATGAAAATTTATTTTAACGGTAGAATGGGTATGATAAAATATTGGTTACAAAAAAATTATAAATGGGTCTGGTAAAACTGAAAGCTGCTGCTATATATAGACCCACAGTATTAAGACAAGGCAGTTTGTTTATCAAATCTGTTCATGGACATCTGTCTCCTTCCCAGTTTTTTGCTATTACAAACAAAACTGCTATGAACAGCACAATTTCTCTTCTCTGGGTAATGGTGTATGCTATACAGATAGATACAAGAAGATCATAAAAGGATGATATAGTGTATAGGACCACTGTTTTAGAAATTGACAGATACAAAAGTCCAATATGGTAATAGTAGGTAAATTAATTCTTATTTTTTTCATCAGCAATTACCAATAGGAAAAAAAAAGGAAAATAATGATTATGTTTTATTTCAAAACTCATTTTTTTCCATTTTGTTTTATTGGCATAATCAAGTTAGGTGTATATGTTAGATATCACATTTTGATCAGTCTTAAGAAATATTTCTCATAAAAGAAATTGCGCAAACTCTATGTTTTAGAAGTCAATATTTAAAATAAATCTACACCACTCTGTTGTCCGTGTCCATGAGTAATTTTTCTTTTTTGGGGAGTATAAGGGGAGCAAATGGTAATGGGAAAAAATACAATAAAGATTAAATTAAAAATACATAGTTTTATGAATGAATTCTCCATTAGTCCCACAGAAATAACATTTGGTATCACTTCAGAAAACATAGACTCAATTTTTAAGGGTTGAAAATGGACTTTTTTAATACCCTATAATATTTATATTTTAACACATTTCAATTATGTAAATTCCATGAAGTCCTTTTTTTTTTATCAGCATAAAAACCACATTTCTCACTTCCTACTTTCTCACTTTTTTCCTAGGAGAAAAGGAAAATATTAATAATCATTTCACTAAAAAGAACTTTTGAGTATTCTTACTAGCGTAACATTTTTTATTTACTAAATATATTTTTAAACTTATATTTTATTTATTGACTCTTTACGAACTCTATGATACTTGTTTCTGATAAAGGAAATATCCAATCAACATTGATTATGGTATAGAACCCTTACCTATGTTGAAATGTAGTATGATGAATTACCATCTTTCTGTTGCTTTAGCCTATTGGTGTAGGTATACCAACAATTAATTTAAGAAAAAGGAGACCCAATGTTCAGGTAACTGAATGGAGTTAGCTAGCAGTGCCTTCAAAATTGCTAAATCAGAGTCGCAATTAAGCTTCTTTTTCTAAAAGCGTATGATTAATGCTGCCTTTCCTGACATCAAGCTTCCAGAGCATGAGATGATGAGCATCATTTCTCAATAAGGTGGAGCAAAAATGTTATTAATGATGGCAGAGAGTATGCATTGGCTAACTAAAAATTGCTAGCAAATTATGTAATAATAATGTTAACAATCAGTGTAATCATAATTAGATGGCTTCTAAAAGTAAATTTAATAAATATTGTGAAATTAGTGTCAAATCTCTGTAATCCTCACAATTTGTTTGTAAAATTAACTTTTAAATGGAATTAAAATACAATTCTGATGTGATAGTTTCTATAAGGCATAAAATTTAAGCCAAAATTTTTTAACTTCTGAAAGCACATATTTAGATTAGAAATTAGAGAAATTTGCCTTTAGATAATTGAAGATGTCCAATATTACAAATAAATATTATGAATTGTTATTACTTGACAAACTCATTGCAAAATTTCTTTCTCTATTGGCAACAAAATTTAAACCTTATTATATGTATGCATATTTCTTTAAGCACCCTAAAAATAATTAATATAAAAGGATAATTCCTTTGGTTTAGTACAGTTTAGTACAAGAATTTAGAATTTTAAAAATAGTTCAATATGATTTAAGGTTTTATATGTAAGCTTATTATTTCTTACAAAAGAAAGTTGGTGGTATAATAGACATGGTCCCCGACTTACGATGTTTTGACTTACAATTTTTCGACTAACAGTGGTGTGAAAGCAATATGCATTCAGTAGAAATCATACTTTGAATTTAAATTTTGATCTATTTCTGAGCTAGCAGCATGTGGTAGGATAACTCTCATGATGCTGGGCAATGGTAAGTGGAGCACAATAAAGTAGGTTAGCTGAAGCTGTGGTATTCTGTAGGTTAGAGGTAGTAAATGCATTTTTAACTTAAAATATTTTCAATTTATGATGGAATTATTAGGACATAATCCCATCATGAACCAAGGAGCATCTGTAATGAAAAGGCAGTATGATATTAAGAAGAAATCCTTAGCCAGAAATTAGGAGAGCTGAAGTTTAGTTTGGTCCTACTTATAGCCATCAGTGTAAACCTGAGTAATTAAGACCTATAGTACTTCAGTCTTTTCTTTTGAAAAGCAGAATTGAACTAATAATTGTTTCATACCCCACACAGTGTATCTGCCTAGGAAGTAAAAAAAAAAAAAATACACACACACACACACACACACAATTTCAAACACTATTTCTTGAAAATTCTTATTTAATTTGGACAGGGATGAAAAGATGAAATCCAGCCTTCTGTTAGTTTTTCATCTAATCCAAGTTGTTCTGAACTGTGGAGCCACTGGATTAGTAGTTTCAGTTCCCTTCTAGCTGTCAAATTCCATGATGTTCTGAATTTCATGTTGTTAACATCAGTCTTCATGTCTTTATGGTTCCTATGGAGGTTAAAATTATACTTATGTCTTTTCTTGACGTAATTGTTTTATGTTACTCTTCTTGCATGTTTTGTCCTGTGTATTTATCTTAGCAGTCATGTACATCTTAGTAAATTTTAATTTTTGCAGTACTTTCATATGTTGCATGTAAATATTATGATATAATTTAAAGATGAGCAACCTGAAAATTGGTTTGTTTTATTTTTGTTTTCCTTTAAGGAAACCCCAAATGGCAAACTAGCAACCACACAAGACTTCTGAAATTTGGGAATATTTTTAGAACTACGTATGTAGTATTTTTAATAATACTAATTATTTCAGTTTAAAATTTGTTAACAACACTGCCTTTTATTTTAGTTCCACAAATTATGTGGTTATTCTCTCAGTTGATCATCAAATTTTACAAATGAGAAATGTTAGATATTTTAAATATCAGACAAAATATTGGAAGCGGAGGAACTTGATTCCAGTTCTCAAGCCTCCCATGTGCTTTCTTATTAAAAATTCTGCTTTTGAACTTTTCAATCACTGTGCCTATAATGGGTCTTTTAAAAAATGGTCGGCCAGATTGCCATTTAAGAAGTACACTGACATTTTTCTTTTATGATTTCATTTTCTTCTCTGTGTCTTTATATGTTGGATTGGGACATCATCTTCATATTGCCAATTCTTCCTGATAATGCCTCCTCCATGCATGCTGTTTGGGTCTGGTCATGCTATGCATTGTCCATTGCATGTAAGATAATACTCTTATTTATGTTTTGATTATTTTGACTTTGTTTTGCACTGAGTTTATTAAAATTTTAATGCTGTTATGAGGGTGTTTGTGTGAAGATAATTTATTTCCTGGGATGTTAAATAAGCAATTTTGAATAATATTGTCAACTTTAGAGTATCCTTTTGTTTTCAGTTTTGTTCAAGAAAATATTAAAATTATTTTAAATATTGATTTTTGTTTTCTTCTTATGAAAAACACATTTCAAATCAATAAGATGCTGTCCAAATAATGGCCAGTATTGAATGATACAATATTTACTTTGGTTATTCTAGAATCTTCTGATTCTAGGTATTTAGTTCATAAGCAGTGAATACTTTTGTAAATTTGCCTTTAAAAATTCTCATTCATCAAAATCCATGGGAATCATAAATTTTTATTTTTTAAGTGGAGTTACTCTTTGAAGGAAGGCATTTTTTGTTATAATTATAAATTAATACATGCTGCATGTAATTTATCATCATTTGTGATAAATAAGATATGGCCAATCTTAATACATTTTAATTATGGTAACTATCTTGGGTAGTCAGTCCTTCTAAAACAGTTTTTAAATAATGATAATCTGAAAATATTTTTTAAGAGCCCATGAGGCTGAAATTAGTAAAATTCCAGTGACCTTGCACTAATATAACATAGTTTGTACTTATTACTTCTATCTAATTAATTATCATGGTTTAGTGGTATTTATTTTATTAAACATTAAATATCCAGTTTCTAAAATTTTGCAACTGTAAAATTATAGACACCTATTTCTATTTTATTGTTCTAGTGAACTATGAAATTCTACCATGGCATGTTGCACTTAGCAAGTATTACATGATAATCTGTATAGTTTTGTTTACCAGATAGTTCAATAAGTTTCCATTTTTGTAATTGACAAATTTTTAAAATGTCATATGAGGTAAATTTGCCAGGCTAACTTTTAACTGGTTATATTTATAAATGAGTAAAGAATCTTCCTTGTTCCACAATGAATTTTATTTATTGTTAGACACCTGCAAAATGTAGCAGTAGGAGATGTTAAAACAGGGAACAGGATTCAGTGAACCCAGGGTTTATTATTCTAGTTAGACTTTAATTACAATAGCTAATCTTTATGAAAATCATTATTACTTAACCACGAATTTTATCTTATAAAATGTACTTAATCTGACTTATTAAAATATATATGAAATTTCTGAGATTCAAATATATGAAGCAAACTTGCATCTTTAGCATTTTAAGAAGGAAGACTACATTTAGAAGAATTTGTTGTACTTAGCAAGTTTAAACATAGTTGTTAAAATATTGTCTTTTATTTAATTTTTCCTTATAAATACAAATAAGAAAGTATATTTACATATTTCCTTTGTTTTATTACTAAATATGTTATCCACCTGTCTATATTTTGCTCCTTTCCATCCTAATTAAAGAGAAAAGCTGTGAGCAGATCTTCAGAAGTCATTTTCCCATAGAACTTGTGATTCTAAATGTATTATCTAACACAGCACTCAAAATGAGAATGTAGTTGGTGATTAGTAATTAAAATTTGCTACACTTAAGCTCAAATTCCTGGCTTCTTAATTATTATTTTAAAAGTATATATATGAAAGAATATGTCTTTATATAATTATTTTTGTCAACTATTGTGCCTTAGGTAAGTAACTTTTACAGATTAATTTTATATTTAAATAGTAATTGAATTATTCTATATATGGTGTCATTTTACAATGTCACATATGCTTAATTATTATCATTTTTTGTGTAGAACCCCAAATCTCAGGAGCCAGTAACTTTGGATTTCCTTGATGCAGAATTAGAGAATGATATTAAAGTGGAGGTGAGTGTAATCTGTAGGCTTGAACAGTACCCGCAGGTGAAATGCTGCAAACACCAGTTCCACAAGTATCTGTTAAGCACCTTCATTGTGCTGGGTACTCTCTTAGGTAGACAAATTTAGATGGTGTTTAAAAAAATTCTAGGTCCTGTGCTCCCTCATCCAAAAGATCATATGAAAAGAATGAAATATTTTAATTTTGGTGTGACCTTTTTCTCTTTCTCATTCTACAGGTAAAGATAGTTTTAAGTATTTCAGTACATTTGAAACTTGTAAATTTCAATTAAAAAACATATACACATGGAGAATGTTGCCACAGAGTTGAAAGAAAAGGTGGAGGGAAACTAACCATTCATCCACTCAATGAGTAACATGCTTAGAGAACCTGATGTGTCTGTCTTAGTACTCTTTACTCAGAAAATTTCTATTTTACTTCAAAACCAAAATTGTACGTCACTTCCTCTGAGAGAGTCTCCCATCAGGAAAATTATAATCATTAATAGTAATATTAAGTACATAATATGTGCCAGTCATGGATTCTCAGGAACCTTTGAAATAGGCATTATCATTATCATCATTGTTATTATTAATCTTTTGTATTAATGATATATTTGAGGTACCAAGAGGTTAAATAGCTTGTCACCTATTACTCAGCTAGTAAGTAGCAGAGCCAGGATTTGAACTGGCCCTTGCACTCCAGAGATTTTTAAGATTCTTTCAGCTGGATTAACTCCTTCTCTTATCTATGCAACAGCTGCCGTTTTCTTTTATAATTTGTGGGTTTGAATTTCTATGTGCCTTATACATTTTACACAGATTGCTTCATTGAACAATAGAATTTAATTATTATAATTATCTTTGGCTAAGGCATAGTGCTGGGATGTTTTAGGTGATTAAAGAATATTTGTTGTACAGTGTGTTGACATGATAGAGTAGGATCATGTAATATTAAGGAGCTTGGTCTTTGAACTCTCACGCCATTGTGTATGTAACTGTAATTATTATTTAACCTCTCTTAAATCGCAGCTTCCCCTTACTCAATTTAATTAACCACTCTTTTATTCATTATATTTCAAAAATTAATGACTCACTAAAAATATTTCATTAAGGATACTCTTATTCATTTTAAATAATGTAAAATGACTATAATGTGATAGCTTTTAAAAGAATATTCCCAGAGAATAGCTGCAACTACTAGTAAAATCAGACTATTATTTTCATTCAGTTTGTTCTGAAACAAGGTATAATATTTTAATAATAATACTTTGGTAGGTCAATTGAGTGCCTGCAATTAAGTAATTAATCATTTTTTCCTTAGATCCGCAATAAAATGATAGATGGAGAAAGTGGAGAAAAAACGTTCAGAACTCTGGTTAAATCTCAAGATGAGGTAATAATTGAGTCAGACTTATTCTTAAATGAAAATATACATGTTAATAATAATTAATATTAGTAGTTTGTTTTTCTTTTCTATTAAAGCAATGTTTGTTTATAATACAAGGGTGTCTAGAAAACAAAAAATTTTTAAGGTACTCTTCTTTGCTACAGGGATATTTTCAATAATATTTTTAACTAATTTTTATAAAATAATGTTGCTTTAGGTTTCTTGATGTATTCTTATGTTAACAATATGTTCCTGAAAATTATATTTTATGTCTCCGTTTTTATTATAAGAAATAAAGCACAATCTAATGCAGATGTTCTAATTGTTGTGTTCCATATATTAATTATTTGGGGTTTTACATTTTTTGTTTGTTTTACTTGTTGCTTAGTATACTACTTATGCACTTTATATGATAATTGCCCTGCATTTAATTATGAAGTCAAGTCAGGAGATTTATCCCCATAAATCACTGGTACAAATATGTAATGAAGTTTTATTGCTTTATTAGTATTCCACTGACATGGAAGAACTTTTTGCTTATGTATGAGGGGTGTAGAAGTGTGTGTATCTATTATTAGTCGCATGTGGAATAAATATACATTCATGTACTTGAGTATTTAAAAAAAAATAGAACTCTGAAGCTCTTGAGTTTGGCAATTCAAATTTTTTTTGGACTTGAGAGAAAGAGATTGAGATTGATATTTCACTTCACCCATCCTTGCATTTACTGGTTGTTTCTGGTGTGTGCCCTCACCAGGAATTGAACCCACAACCTTGGTATCTTGGCATGCTGGGATGGTTCTCTAACCAACTTAGCTACTTGGCAAGGGCCTAGTTTAAGCTTTTATATCATTCTTTTAAATGTAACATTTCTCCTGAATTCCTCAGTAGGTCTTCTCCTAAAATGGAGCTGAGATCTAGATATGATGTTTCATTTGCATGTAGCTTTTCTCATTTTAATGTCATTAGGAGCTCCCATTACAAGAACATAAGGGGAGGGATATATCAATTTCAGTCTTTGTTGAAACTCCAAGTCTATGTATTTACTCAGACTTGAGCTATGCTGTTTTCTCTCCAGAGGAAAGATGTACACCATTCATCAGTTCTGCCAACTTCTCCATGTTGTTCCATCAACCAGATCTCTGACTTGCACATTCTGTTTTCAACTTATAAATCAATTTTGTTTCTATTAAATCACTTTGATATTTTCATTCTTTAATTTGGTGTAAATTTTTTTGACCAATATTCATGTATAAAGTTTTTTTGTTACAACAGTGAAAAATATATCTTGTATGTTTCCTTGATCTTATTTTGATATTATTTTTATAACTTGCTGAACATTAGTTTGCCATGTATTTTGAGTAGTAACAAATATGTAAATGTTATCTTTTAAAAGAATTTTACTAGTCCAAAAGCCTTCTGAGTATTCCTGTCCTCCCTTCTTCCATACTCCACTCACATAAAGAAAGCCTAAATACATAGACTTGAAGTTTCAACAGCATAGGGATGTTTGATGTATGGAAGCAACATTGTATAGTTGCTATACAATGAATTTAGCATTATACATTTTCCTCCATCCTTTCAATAAAGTACTCTTTAAGACTTATTTCTTCAGCAATCGTTTGTGGAAAATAATAGTATCAACTCCAGGGGATTGATTAAATGAGACAATGACTAAACAAAGTACTTAGTATATTGCCTAACTTCCAGTAATATTTCAGTGAATGTTACTGTTCTGATGAGGATGATGAAGCTGGATGTAAATAAAATATTTAAAAGATATAAATATGTCATTATATCTAATGGAAGAAAGAATAATAATTTCTGTACTATTGTTCAGTAGCTGTATATTAAAGATTTCCATATCCATGAAGTTATTTAGTTCTTTACTTCCTTTCCTCAGTATATTTAGTTGTTTTTTCAACCTTCATGATACTGAGTAATTAGTCTCTTATGATAGATACTACTATAATAAAGACTTAATAATAGTAATATACTAATCATATATTTGGATCTAGTCATTGACTGCATTATTTCCTGATACTACTCATTTCTCTTTTAGGTACTCTAGCATGGAATATCTAAGACTTATCTAACATTTCACAGTCCTATTTCATTATTAAAGTTTATTTTTCAGGAAATGTTTTCAAAGTTTTTGAGTTAATAATTTGGCATAATTACAAAGATTTTATCCTTCAAATTTATTGTGTGCATGTTTATTTTTATTCTAAATTTTTGCTTTACACATACATATACCCATAACAGAATGACTGTTGAATTAATAAGTAGATCCTCATGCTCTGCTCTTCATGTAAATTTACATAGAATAAAAGGTGTTAATAACCATGTCAAACTTTTTTCCTAGAGATATATTGACAAAGGAAACAGGACATATACATGGACTCCTGTCAATGGCACGGACTACAGGTAATAGCTATATTTATTTGTATACTGCATAAAAGAGTATTCAACTCAGTGTTTTTCACCTATTTTAGTAGCCATTTTCCAATGGATGAATATTAAGTCTGCATTTTCATAAGCTATTTTCAGTGTAATTAAAATAGAAATGTTACCTTTTCCAACATTAAAGTATTTAAAGTTATAGGTTCTTTTTTTTCAAAATGAAAATATGGGAAAAATTTAAGAATGTAAAATTTATATCTCATATGTGATATAAATGTATTTGATATTTTGTATATTAGCTAGTAACAATAAATGCTGACAATATACCCTTAATTTGTAGTAATTACCTCCACTGACCTCCTTATTTAAATTAGTTTACATTACTCACATTTTAGGTTGTAAATTTTTTACATCATAGTGTAATCTGATAGAAAATGCTCAATTGATATAATTTATCCTCATGAATAGCAACTTTGCAATATCCAAATCCCTCCAATTGACTGGGCTTTAGAAAATTCGACAGAATAACACCATATAAAAGCTTGTTAGATTTTAAGGTTGTTGCCTTCTTCATTTACTTTTGAATCCTCAGCATAGGAGACAGTGGCACATGGTAGAGATTCTATAAATATTTACAGAACTAAAGATTAAGATTTTTAATTTCTCTCATCCTGTCAAATTCAAAGAATGGTGTCCAAATTTTCATTGAAATATTCAAGTTTGAAGGACTTTCTGGGTATGTATCAATATGTAGTTAATATATAGTCTAATTAATAGCTGGTAGTGAGTTTAGCTATTCCTTAGCAACAACCCCCTGCAACATACACATAACCTGTCAGAGAATCAGAGAGTGCTGAGAATTTCCCTAGAGCTGTGGTGTTATCATAGGAAAGTGTTACCTTTGTGTTTCTAGAAGGGCATACAGGATAGATATAGAAGAGGAGAACATAAATGTTAATGTCATGATTGAATACATGCCAGTCTTTCTCCACATATTTTTGAACCTACTTAGAAACATCAGAATGACTGGTTTAATTATTTTACTTATGGCTGTCTTCTGATTTCTCATTTCTTTAGGCATCTCTTTACACAGTTTTTATGTACATATGCAAGTCATTTTTTTGCCTTTTTTATGACTGTTGTCAGCTTTCCCTTCTTTTTTTGGGGGGTGGGGGGTAAAAAGGTATAACAGGACAGAGGGTATCTAGGAGCCCTGTCTCTTTAGAGGTGACTTTATGATAAAACAAAGTATTGGATGCACTGTGAGGAATACGCCCTATGCCTTTGTTCCTTAGATAGACAAATTCTAAGCTAGAAAAACTCTCCTTTTGACCCTGACAATGAGTTAGCAATGACACTTGGTTCTACTCTAATTATAATGATAATTTGGGGTTTTTTTCCATTCTCATTACGCCTTACCTAAATGTGTTTGTGATAATCTCTCAAATGTCCCGTACAAACCCCTTTTCCTCACACACCCAGTCATAATACACAGTGTGGCCAGATTAATGTTTATTTCTCCAGCGTTGATCATGTTACTTCTTGTTCACAGAACTTTAGTCTCTTCTTATTTCCATCCATGTTAAATTTGAACTTCCAGGTCTGGTATTCACATACATATTTCTAGCCCCGCCCATGTGCCCCGTAATTTCTGCCTCTGTCCTCCCCGTACACATTCCTGTTTTCTGAACAGGCCTGACTTCCCTACTTCTGAGTGTTTTCCTCATACGTTCCCCTTCCCCAATCTACAACTTTGAGTCAGATTCAATCTCTTTTCATTGTAAGTACTTCCCTGAATCTCTATACAAATAAATTCACAGATAGCAGTTTAAAACAAAATGTTATATGTAAATTGAAGAAAAATGGCATGTGTTGATTTAATGAATGAGGTACCAAATTTCACGTAATGATTTTTATATTCTTAAGCCTTGATATAATTTAGAAGTCACATTTTTAAAATACAGTAGAATTCTCTCATTTTTAATGAAGAGTTTAGTTTGATATTGATAAATGATTGAGTTGAAAAGTATGTCATAGTACACTTAACTAATTAATCATGTTGATGAGAGTCACAAAAATATTATGTGGGATGTTCCATCCATCTGGTGGCCACTGGCTTTATTAGACTTGAAGCTCTAGGAGAAAATAAACCATCCTTAACCATCCTTGTTCTATTGGTTTTATATGGAGAGAGATAGCAAACACTGTATATGAGAGCTTCGATGACTGGGAATGTTGATAAAGATCTTATCTGCCATAGGTTGAAAAAAAATGACTGTTACCTTAAGATGAAAATAACAATGTAAGACTCGCAGGCCAGTTATATATTTAATAAATCAATTTTAAAACTTCTATTGTGCCCCTTGTGACTGTCCTCACTATTTTTCATGGTACGTGAGACATAATACAAACTTACAGAATGACATTGTGGCAGCTGCATGATATAATGTTATCGGTTTTAATTAGAAGTTTCTCTTAGCAATAAATGCTGATGGGGTAGTAAAAATGTCCTAATTTCCCTTGCGGGAAATTTTTAGGAGACAGTCTTCAAATGCTCAGTAATTCTGCCCTACATTTTATAAATGGCAAATGAATCATGAAAGGTCATCTCGCTTTGAGGCTAATTGCACTGCTTACTTTGATTTTAATCCCTGCCTCCACTTAAAGGAAGTTACCTATAAAATGAATGTAGAGATTTTCATTAAATCTACATAACATTTTATTTCTCTGACCTTTATTCATAAGGGAAGTCTATGAATTACTCAGTGATCCATCTTGATTCTCAATGATAGAGAACGATTAGGGAACTGGAGGTAACAAGCAACCACCCATTTTGCTATCTTGACTTTAAGTTGTAGCAAGTAAACCATTGTTTTTTTATTCTTCATGAAATGAATTTTTAGCTATATATTCATAAGATGGAAAACCTGGGGTTTTGTGGGTTTTTTCTGTTCTGTATTGTCCATAAAATATGTAATGAGATTACAGTTTGGACATCAGCCCAAAACCCTTGGAAACACAAGGCTTGAATTACTTAAAAGAAGATCTGCAAATGCCTAGAAATATTTAGAAACCTAGATATGCACACTTTTCCTATACATTGCTAATTTTTACATTAAATATTAAAGACAAGTGCTGAATGACTCAATTGGTCAAATCTAGCATCACTTTTTGAAAATAGTCACCTTGGAAATCTTTGCAATGCCCTCATTTTTTGCACTCATTTCAATTCATAAGTTTCCATCTATATTCAAAGACATGCAAAGGTCATTTGCAATAGTAAATGTGGATATGTAATAATTAGTTATGTCCCACAAATTATTAACCAATATTATTACCATTGAGAGTAAAAGAGTTACGTATATGCAGTAGAATTATTGGAAATTGCATACTATTCAAATATTCAGACATCTTTTAACAGTTCTAACACATTATGTGTTTTATTAATTGGCAACTTCAAAGTAATAAGTTTACCTTCCTGTCAGCTCTTTATTTTGTTTAGTCATTAAGACAAGGTTTGAAGACAGGTTTGTCTGACAGTTTGTCTGTGTCTAAAACTTTCTGAATTGGTTTAAGATTTGCACTGGACATCTCCTCCAGCGTACACATCTTCTATAAGTTTAGAGTAGCCCCACGACTTTTGTAAAGTACTCAGCTCAAGATATCTGTCCTTTTGAACCTGACCACAGTTTATTGAGTGCCACAGAATATCCACACTAAATGAACTTGAAGTTTTGATTAAGAGCCAATGGGATGAGCAAGAAATCTTTCTTAGTACTATGAAGGAATTTGAATTTTCCCATTAACAGATTCTGTGGAGTTATCTAAAAAGTAGGGTTTTAAAATAGGAGGTATTTATCCCCCTTAAAAAAATATTTCAGATGATTATGTATATAGATGAATATAATAATACTTACATTTATAATTGTTAATAGCATACATTTGCTACAAAGCACTTTAACATATAATTCATGAAGTTTATTTACTTTGTTTAAACATACCCTAGTAGTGTTCTACCTTTTTCAACACTCAAAGTGTTCTGATAGACTTTTCTGGAAATATAGTACCCATGACATTGTTTTCTCAACTAATATATGGGCGTATTTAGAAGCTTGTTTTCCATATGTCTCCTCTGACCCCCTACAGTGTAGAGAGCTGGATGACTCAGGATGGGAAGACCAAATTAAGTCCTCTAGTAGCTGAATGCATTTTACTGTCAAAGTAATATGACTTTGCCTTCCCGTGAGGAAGAGTTTTGAATTTTCCATGAACTTGACGTGTTTTTTTTAAGTTATGTTTCATTTTTGTTTGTTTGTGTTTATGCTTCTCTTGTTTCTATTGCAGTTTGGCCTTGGTATTACCAACCTACAGTTTTTACTATATAAAAGCCAAAATAGAAGAGACAATAACTCAGGCCAGATGTAAGTACTGTGAAAGTGACTTCAGGGTCTGTTTGTTATCTTCTAGTATCAGATGTTTAAAGATGACTAGATTAACTAGATATCGGAATACCCAAGGCTTACCTATTTTAGTAGCTCTTATTACCAAATCTACAGCAATGATTCTAACCCATTCCAAACATGCAAGGAACAAGAAATATTCTACATGGATAGAATATGAGCAGGTACTCCAGTCTCACTGGCAGTCCCCCACCGCCCTTCCCTGCCTTGCTTTGTGCTCATAGAATCATTGCAGTGCTGCGTCCTCTGTTGCTGTTGTTTTAAGGGTCTGCTAGCTGACGCAAAATGTTTCACATGGTCTACTCATGGCACGGTGCTAGTAAAGCTTTACCTTTTCTTTCCTTCTTTCTTTTGGGTTTTGTTGTTGTTGCTGCTGTTGCTCTTGGCAAGAATAATATTGTGCTCCACATGTTCTACTTTGTTTGATACAATAAATTCACTGGTTTTTGGCTTTGGTTTGGCAATTAACTTTTTTTCATAATCCAAGTTAATGTCTTCAGTAACTCAAACGGGTTTTTTTTTTTTAAAGCATCATTTGGAATGTGGAGAAATTATTAACACTAGTGCATATTTCAAGTCATCATTAATCTTTATTTGTTTTGGGTGACTTAGATTTAGTAAAGTAAAATGACCATCATATTCTTTGCACATCACTCAATTATTATTAACAAACTAAATTTTTTTGTGAAATAAAGTAAAAATATGTATAATTATGTATAGTTTTTATATATGACTTTAAGTAAACTAGGTTATTTTTTTCATTTTTATGTCATTTCTTTTCTTTCTTTCTATGTTTTTTCCTCTCTTCAGCCCTGGTTCTCATAATGCATTGTGGTATTTATATATATATATATATATATATATATATATCATGTTCACTTGATAGATATGATGGTCTTTTAACAATCAGCAACTTTGCATGAGCTAGTTCTTTACTGGATAAATGAGGGGATGACTGGTGGGTCTTTGATGATTGGTAAATGCTTCTGTTTATAGGCTAACATCATCGGTATTGCACCTGCATTAAACACTTTGCAAAATAGACCCTTGAAATAACGACAGTACAAGGGAGTGCTCTAGTAGAATTGACAGGACATACTTTCTATTTTTCAAAAATATGTGTCTTCTTTTCCAGACTACAGCTCTACATAAATGAACCTTTGATCTATGCACAATATTTTTATTCAAGAAAGTCATTGAATAAAATATTGTTTGTTACCCCCTTTGCTTTACCCTCTTTTTTTTTGTTTCCCTGCTTTCTCTTTCTGATGGATTTTGACAGCAAAAAAGGGCAAAATGAAGGGCAAGTATTTTCTTGTTGCTTAATTTTTTCTGTTTAGTACACTTGACATTTCCACTGATTTTTCCATTCCTATTGGATATTATCCTCTGTGCTTCTCATTTGCTATATTTTCCTCCATGATCATTCCAATCTTAGTGGCCAAATATGGGGAAAAAACATGCTTGTGTTTTCAAATGGAAGCTGTTTCACATTCAAGTTTTTTCTTAGACAAATACTTGTGTGTTTTTATCCTTCCACTTACTAATTCATACTAATGTGAAGAATGTCACTAATTCACTAAGGCATTTATTGAAATCATTTTCTTTACTATAATATTGGTAAAAATTTTTTATGTTGGCATTTTAAATAAAATACCTCTGATGTAACTTTGATATAAGTTATTGTGGTTATAGTACAGTTAGTAAATGGGAAAAATACAACATTTTCTCTGATATAACTGTTGTAGTCCATATTATGAAATTAAAGTTGATTTTTATTTCTGTAAGTATGGAGGAAATTTCTATTAATTGATAAGTTTTAATTTAGGATATAATTAGTCTATTTGAACTTTTTTTATTAAATTACTTTTCTATGCCTTCCTCTTGCCACAGAATTTTGGGATATATATTCTGGATTGCTTTTCTAATCCTCTAACATTATCTTTGCAGATTCAGAGACACTAAAGCCAGATAATTTTGAAGAATATGGCTATACATTCTTAGCACCAAGGTTGGTTTTGTTTTATTTTATTATTTTATTTTTTATAGCTTGTATGAAAGATAACAGTTCTAACTTAGGATCAAGACTGCTCTTAGTTAATTCCATGCCAAATTATGAAACGAAAGGGAATAATAACTTTAAAACTGAAAGAGAACGCTGCTCAATCATTCATTTAGTCATTCGGGTACTTACTGAGCAGGTATTACATGCTAAGCAATGTGCTGATGTGGGGATACAATACTGAACAAGACAGATGTAGGCTTTGCTTTTGTTGCAGCTAACTGCAACAATGACAAATTGTGTTATTGCATTTGTGGGTATGTGTACCATACAAACATACTCTATATATGTATGTTTTGACATGTTTTATATGTGTACACACATTTATACATACACACTGATAGATATGAGTAGATATGTATAGATATATATGTGTATATGTAAGAATAAAAATTTATATACTCCATAGAAGGACTTAACCTCATATTATTTTTTTAATACACCAACACAACTTTCTGGGAAATATGTTACAATCTAGTGATGTTTTCTCACATACTTTTTGAGATTGACTTTTTTTCCTCCTGCCCTATTTTATTTCTCTCTTGAACAATTCCTCTTGTCTATTCCTAATATACATTTTTATCTCTACTTCTTTTTTATGTAATTATTTGAAACTCTCTTCAATTATCCAAGTGTGTTCGCTTTTTCAGTTTTATTCTTTTTCTTAGTTTTTGATTCCCTCTAACAGACACAGGTAATATTCAATTTAATATAATCCTTATTAATCTAGATTAATGATTTTCAACCTTTTTCACCTCATGACATACAAAAACTAATTACTTAAATACTGCAGCTCACAAAAAAAATTTTTTTCCAATCTGACCAAAAAAATTATAGTTTTGATTCATTCACATTGGATAGCAATTGTTGTTCTGGCTGCTGTCATTTTTTTTTTTTTTTGACAATCTAAGATAAAAGAGGTCAGTGCCCCTGACTGAATAGTCAGGTATTGAATGTTTTTAAAATTCTTGTAGCACACAGGTTGAAAATTGCTGATCTAGACTAAATTATTAAAGAAAACAGATTCGGGAGCTTGTGTTATTAATTTCTCACATTTTATATTCCTCAAAGAAATTACTCTACGAACCCAAAGAAAGCTCACAAAAATTGGCATAAATTATTCTTTTATTTTACTTTTGCATAAGGAAATCTGAATTTTTGGTTCTTCTTTAAAATAGGGACTATATATTGTTCCCTTTTTGAGAAATCTCTGTTAACAGAACATACTCTTGGCTTCATGGATGACTCTGCCCTTAAGCAGCTTCTCCTCTTGACGGCACACTATTCCAAAGAACTTCCTCCCTGCCTGCTGCATATTCACTCTCTTTCATAAGCTTCTTTTCTTCTGATCACCTCCATGAGAATGCTGCCTTTGGCTCTCTTCCCTTCTTGTTCTGGGTCTACAGACATACCACTCATCTAGTCCATATTTACAGTTTGGAGTGATGCCTTCCACATCTACAAGATGGCCATACCATCTAGAAACAAAATAGATAGTGTGGTTTATTGATGTTAGATTACAGTTTAGGGACAAACAATATATTTATGTCCAGACTTTCTATCTACAATAAATATCTCAATATTAGTCTCATATTTATGGTAACCTCACAGGAACTTCTTTAATATGCTTCAAATTCAGTATCTCCTTAACATTTGTTCTCTTTGGAGAACTTTTCTTCCTCTGTTGCATCAGTGAATACCCAGTCTTGAAAGTTGGTAGTTGTCTTTTTTCCCTTTCATTTATATCTAACTTCTAATCAATCACTAAGTCCTACCAAACAGAATTTGTCTTATGAGTGTCAAGTCTGTCTGTCTAAGCCTGCTGCCTTTGTCCAGAGCAGGCCACTGCCTTCTCTCACCTGAACTACTCCAGCTACTTCCTAACTATCTCCCCCACCTCCAGTATTTTCCCCTTAGTTCCCAGTCCTTTTTGTAATCACAGAGAGTTTCTAAAATGTGAATAAAATGTTTCTCATCTGCTAACTACTAACCAATGGTTCAGAATTGTCCTCACGGTAATCTGTACTTTATATTATAACTCAAATGCTCTGTCCTTGGGTCCCCATTTACCAATGTGGTTCTCTCTACTATAAATCAGGGCCATCAAACTACAGGCTACAGGTCGCTGGGCTGTAGCATACATACAGTTTCATTGGAACACAGCCATACTTGTTAATGGATGTATTGTCTTTCACTATAATGGCCAAGTTGAGTAGCTGTGGCATGGGCACAGTATAACCCACTGAGCCTGTTATTTGCTATCTAGCCTCTCAAGAAAAAGTTAGCCAACCTTTGCTCTAAATTCCAGCTACACTGAACTTCTGTTTCTAAATGAACTGTTTTACCCTTACCTCTTTTTATTTACTAATTTTCTTTTCTATGTTGGGCCATACTCAGATACACCCCAAATTCAAACCCCTTGATCTGGTCATTTCTTTCCCATGTTCACTGGATTAGGCATCCTCACCGACTGCCTCAGAGGTATTCCTTCTCCTAGAGCAAAAATACCAGAGAAGGGAAGTAATGTTGTAACTTGTGGCACAAAGCGACGAATGCCCACCTCCACACGTTTTAAGCTCTTTACATGCGTAATTATATTTACTGCCCAAAAGAACTCTGTAATAAATTAGTGTTATTATCCCATTTCACAGATCAGGAAACAGTTTTAGAGATGTTAAATAATATGGGATTTGAACCAGTTTCCTTATTACTCCAATATATTATCATGTATGTTGAATACACAAATGCTAATGGATATCAAAAGAACATTCAGTACACCTGAGTAAAATATTTTTGTAAGGAAGTTTTCCTGGAAAAGTGAGTATTGAATTTGTATTCAAAGACTTGTGGAAAATAAAATGATAGAAAATTGGGAAAAACAAAAATTGGCAAGAAAACACAGAAAGTTATATGGTATAGGACAGGAGTTATAGATTTTTGTCACTGTAATTAATGAGAAACAGTGTAGCAAACTCTAGATCAAGACTATCTGGATCTGTTACCCAGATGTTCATTTTTATGGCTGTGTTACTCAAATTCTCTGTACCTTAGTCTCTTTATTTATAAATGTTGTATCAATAATAGCTGTGTCATAGAGTTTGTATAAGCTTAAAATGGAATAAAACATGTAATGTATTTACGAGTTCTTGGTAAGATATAAGGTCGGTAAGATAGGGAGAGAAAGAGACATCTGTGTGAGAGGGAAGCATTGATTGGTTGCCTTCTCATACATGTCTAGACTAGGGATTGAACTCATTATCTAGGTATGCGCCCCTGGGGAATCAAACCTGCTAACTTTCAGCCTACAGGATGATGCTTCAACCAACTAAGCCATACCACCCAGAGCAAGGATTGTTGTTTAATAAAGGGGATTAAAAAGCAATCATTTTAAAATAATTTAAAGAAGAAAGCTTGCAAATTGTAAAGATATAACCACTTTTGTTAATTCCTAAGTAAATTAAGCTATTTGATCTTGATTAATCATCAGTTTTTGCAGTTTCCTCACTTTTAAAACTACTGTAGAATGAAAATGATGAGAATCTAGATGTACAGCACTTTCCTGCCTTTAAGAGGCATGCAGTCTTAGGGATAAAAAGCCTAAAACAGATGAATGTTGCTATCTTTCTTAGATATTCATAAATGAGAGGGGCACTTCAAAGAAGGTAAATTAGAATGAGAAATAAAAAACAATATGTGTTAATCTAAAATTCAATCCTAATTTGTGATATATGACCTATGTAAATTTGTTGAACAGAATGAGAACAAACTCATTTTCAATATTCTAGAAATAAATAATTTGCCAGGTTTCTAATACTAAAGATCTTGTGGTTTCAAATCCTGTTAAGTTACAAAGCCCATTGGGTCAGAAACAGAAAGTGACCAAAAGAGAGTATAGCTTCCAGACCCGAAAGTATTTTCTGAAAATTGAAGTTTGGTTTGTTCCTTCAAAGCCATGCGAATATTTCTCCAATTTGCTGCTTCACTTTTATGAGGAATCATCTTCATAAAAGAGATTAAATAATGATCAATATATGTAAAATTTGATCTCTTTTAGAGAAATAGTGCCTCACAGAAGGTGTATCAGCAGGTCTTCCCACACGTTTTGAGGAACCATTTAGCAGTTTTGGTAACTACAGGTGTTCTGCCCTACTGTCATGTGTAGCTCCTTTGGGACAAGAACCTAAGAGAGATTATCTTGAATCTTCAAGCTCCCAGGCCTGTGTTGGATAACCATTAGGCTACCAGGCAACCAACACCAGTGCTGTCTGTCTACTGGGGGTATCCAACCTTTTGGCATCTCTGCACTACACTGGAAGAAGAGTTGACTTGGGCCACACATTAAATACATTGCAATATGTAATCACACACACACACACACACAAAACTCCTAATGTTTTAAGTAAATACAATTTTGTGTTGGGCCACATTCACAGCCATAATGAGCTGCATGTGGCCCATGAAACACAGGTTGGACACCCCTGGACCGATATTCGGTTCTCAATATATTCATCAGCCCCTTCATACTTATTTCCTGTAGAGTAGGCACCACACGCCACATGGTAGGTTAATTTTTTGTTGTCCTTCTCCATCATTCTTATTCCTAGAGAACTCATCCACTGGCACAACATTCAGTGCGTACTTGCAAATTCATTTTTAAAATCATTTCACTCTTGCTCCCATCCTAATTCAAGAACTCTCCTTAAGGGTACTTTCAACACTTTCCAGCTGTTGCTGTTAGTAAACATACTATTATTTGACAGGGTGGTGTTTACTGTAATCAGAAGCAGTAATATCTTGATGGGCAATAATATCTTTATTTTTTATTGAATTTACTGGGGTGACATTGGGTCACATAATTATACAAGTTTCAAGTATACAGCTCACAAAATATTATCTGCAGTATTACCTGCACACTGAATCATGGACTGTCACCCCAAGCAAAGTCTCTTTCCATCCCTATTCCCCTCCTACTTTGCCTGCCTCCACTTACCTCTCACGCCCCTTTCCCTCTGGCTATCTTTAGACTGCTTCAAAATGAAATACCACCCAACCTGTGAGGAAGAGGGGGAAAAAATGACATTGTCTAAATTAATTGTTTACAACACTAAAAGCCTTCTATTGGAAACGGTCAAAGTTACTTTTGGCCTGGAGCTTTGCAATAACAGAAGTGCACACAGTGAAGGTTCAATGCACTTTGTATGGTTAACACACCCTAACTAGGGATGTGAAGACTTGGCTTCTCAGGGCTTGACTATTTGCTACTTACATAACTTCGGGAAAATATTTTTACATCTTTGAATCTCAGTTTCCTCACCTTTAAAATATTAAAAATTTTCTGATAAAGTGGTTTTTAGGATTAATTGAGCAATTATATGATGTAATTTCAGAAATGCCTTTTAAATAATAGCAGAATTCTAAAATGGGTTGTTAGTAATTATTTGCAACATTTTATTTAGTTTTTCTAATACCTTTCAGCTTGCAATTTTGTGATAGTAAAATTCAACATGTTGACCTTTGACTACTAGGGTAGTATGATTTCCAAAATAGCCTAGCATTGTCAGAAGAAATCACTTGCAGCTCTGACAAATAATAAAATGAGTACAAATCATGTAAACTTTCTCAACCTTGCCTTTCTAAACTAAAATTTTTCATGAACCAAGAAGGTTTGTTTTTTTTTTTGAAGTTCCAACATTCTATTTCTCTACTGTCTTCTGAGGTTTTGTATTTAGATAATGAACTTGCATCTGAAAATGTTTACTATTTAATTGAATTTTTGTCTTGAATATTTGATTATCCAATCTGTTGGTTGTATTAAACTAATTATAATTGCAATCTTATATTTATGTTGCCTTATATTTATTCTGAATTTCTAAAACACTTAGTACAGCAGTTCGCAAAGTATGGTCCTCAGAATCCTGTGGGTTCCAGAGACCCTTTCAGAGAATCCACTAGGTCAAAGCTGTTTTCCTAACAAAGTCACCATGTTTGTCTGTTTCATCGTATTGTCATTTGCATTGACAGTACAAAACCAATGGTGAGTGACACCTTAATAGGAATTCAGGCAGTGGCACTAAAGTGCCATTGCAATCTTCATTGCCAGGTGCCTGGATCAGAGGAAAATCCAGTTGCACTTTAAAATATCCTTGACTGAAGCAGTGAAAATTATTAAGTTTATTGAAGCTTTACCCTCAAACATGTCTTTTAATAGTGTGCAATGAAGGTGCAAATTCTGTGGTGCAGCAGAGTAACTTGGCTGTCTCAAAGAAAATCACTTGTCTGATTGAATTAAGAGCTAAACTAGGTGATTTTTTCATGAAATAACATTTTACTTAAAGAATGACTTGTGTATTTGGAAAATGTTTTCTCAAAAATCAATTAAGTGAGATTTTTACTTTGAAGGAAACAACTGAGAGTATTTGTTGCCAATGAAAAAACCTGAGCTTTTTAAAAAAATAAGAATTTTGGGAAAGTTGTATTTATTACTGTGAGCTTCCCAATGTTTAAACTTATCTGTTGAGATCAGTGATGATATTAATGAGTGTGCAGTCAGTATTGTATCATAAAATGTCTCATCATTTGGAAGATCTGCCTAACTCATATTTTCCAAATAACGAATTAATTATGTTACAAATCATAGATGCAAAAAGATTCATTTAAAGTATAAGATAGCGTTTGAATTTTAATGTAATGGTACAAAAAAGTTCATTGACATTTCAAATTCAATATTACAACTCCTAAGAAATCACAGATAATCAAATTTTGGTATGTTATCAAAAAAAAAAAGACAGACATAGCCACAGCTGGTTGGTTCAGTTGGCTGGAGCGTCATCCCACCCACCAGAAGGTTGGGGGTTCTATCTGTGGTCAGGGTACCTACGGGAGGCAACCGATCGATGTTTGTCATTTTTCTCTCCCCCCCCCACCTTCTTTTCTCTCTAAGATTAATAAACAAATCCTTGAGTGAGGATTAAAAAAAAGAATTGATGCAATTTTCTTAAAAGACTATTAAATAATCTTCTCTTTTTCAAATGCAAATCTGTATAACGTTTTCTTTTCATGTGCCAAAACAAAACCTTGCAGTTCATTGAATGCAGAGGCACACTTCTCTTTTATTAATTTAGGAATTAAGAGATTTGTAAATAGTTAAATCAATGCCACTTTTTAATGGGTTACTTTTATTAAATACAGTAATTTCTCATAAGATGTTAACATACAATGGGTTTATTATGGAATTTAGTGAAAAAATAAATATTTTTAAATTTCTCAATTTCTCTATGAAAACTGCAAACCTACAACATGCAGTGATAATAATGTAATAAGAATAACAAAAACATTTATTGATCGTATACCATCCAGAGGTCAAGTGCTTAATATGTATTATCTATAATACCAATTATTGTGAAAGTGTTGTTTTGATGCAGAAATGAGGAAATGGAGGTAACAAGAAGATCAATGGCTTGCAAAGTCACATAGCTAGGTGAAAAAAGTGTTTTCACTTCCTATAATTTGTACATTTTTTAATGTTTTGATTTTAATACCCAATATCTTAAAATATTTTTTCAGAGATTACTGCAATGACCTTAAAATATCAGATAATAACACCGAATTTCTTTTAAATTTCAATGAGTTTATTGATAGAAAAACTCCAAACAACCCATCTTGTAAGTATGCATTAATTCATACTAATTGTTTCACTGTGGTCATATCTCAAGTGGTCAAATCTTGGTTCAGTTTAGTTTGTTGTAATGATGGTTTATTTATGTATTTTATAAAATTTTAATGGTAATATGTAACAAAATATTAGTAAATAAAATTTTAGTAAGTAAAATTTTTAAATGACATGAAAATTTCAAATCCAGGTAATAGATACTTGCAAATGTTTAAATGTAAATGGGATATGCTTGCCTTTGCTCCTTTCAAATTTAAGAAACTTAATTTTGAATGATCTTTTGAAGGTTTTTCATTGCATGCAATGCAAATAGGAAATAACAATGGAAATCCAGCTGTATGGCAAAAAAATTTACCTTAGTATATATAATTTGAAAAAACGTATACATATTTTACTTTTTTGTTCTTCCCTACTCCTTCTTCCTTTCTCTTCCTCCTCCCTCTCTCCTCCTTTTAAAAGAATAATTCCCTTTCTATCAATTAAACAAAACATTACTCAGTAATAAAAAGTAAAAATTCATTCTTAAAGCCATCTCTCAAATTTAAATTTATCTCACAAAAATAAATAACTAGCACCTCTAAGAGGAATTAGCTACTCTGAAAACCTATCTTGAGTAGATGAAGTCTACATTGATCGTGGCTGAATATGAGCGATTACATGTATTTCTATTCAGCGTGAACTCACCCTGACTGAGCCAGAGCCTTTTCAATGCTATTTTACATTATTGTTTATTTCTATTCATATTAGGCATTCCCAAGAGATAACTGAAATAATATTATTGAATTATTCTTTAATTATATACCTATTATATCTATGGATCCTAGGAAAGTATGAATATGTTTAAACAAAATACTTTCAGTATCCTAGTACTAATATCTATATTCTTATCTATTCTTCAATCTCTTCATTTCACTCACTTTTATCTGCCTCCCCTATGATTCAATAAGAAATATTAGAGGTAATTATATAACCATGTGAAGAGTTGCTATTTTATTGGATTTTTAATTATAAAAAGTAGCTAATAGCTATAAAATAATTTGTTTTCCTCTGATTGTTACAGATTTTCCTCAATCATATTTTATATCATGTTTTCAAGTAATATGTAAAACTAAAAGTAAATATCAGTGATTAAAATCTAACTGTGACCTAAATAGTTTTTTCTCAAATGGGTACAGTCAAGTGCAGTTTTGCTTTAGAAAAGTACTTAATCCATCAGATTATTTAAGTTACTTTAAGTTACTTAAGTTATTTTATTATTTAAGTTACTTTATTAACCTACCTATTCATACTAGAGAATGGTTGTATTTTCATATTTTTCTTTATTTTGAACTAATGTGAAAATGAGATTGTGAGTAAAATGGTAAAGATTAATACTATTAATCTGTTTACATATTGTATGTCATTAGCTGCAGGGGACATATTTCAAGACACATTTTAGGTTTATAGGATAATGGAAATAGGAATTAAATTATGTAATTACTTACAACTTTGGTTATATTACAAATTACAGTAATGGTCTTATTTTTCATTTGTGTTACCTGAAAAGATTTGAGACAGTTACAATATTGCATTCACTTTCTAAATGGGCTACTTTTTAAATTGGTGCAATTTCTAAAATAATATAATAAAAAGATAGTTCTTAAAATGAATTGAAATTAAGTCTAAAATAGGGATTATATTTATCCTTTAATCCATTGGTGAAAAGTACATTAAATTAAAATAAAACCAGCCCACATGTTTTCAGCCTATTTTATCCTCCCCTCTTGTAGTTATAGAATATTAAGACCATATATTCCTTATGTGAATAAAATGAAATTTCACATTTTAAATGTGAAGTTTCAGGGAGAACTTACAGTTTACTAAGAGCTTTATGGGCTTAGAGCAGAGGAGCCAGGAGAAAAGGATGAAGTGTTTTAAGAATGTGTATTAATTTTACCCTTGGTTCTCATTGTCTATATCCACCGTATTACCTTTGAAACTAGAGCTGATAGGGTCTTTCGCCAATATCAGTAGATTCCAAATGCCAGTCCTGGAATAAGGGAGGTTTGTGATAACGTATGTTCATTGGCCTAAACAAACAAAAAATATGTAGTTTTATACTTACACATAAAGTTGTCCATGAAATTTTGATGGTTTGGAATTACTACACTAGCCTACAAAAATAAAATCAAAATCAAAAAAGGAATATTTCCTTGTTGTTTCTTGATTGGCATATTTTATATATCTTTTTAATAAAGTTTACAAAATAAGTTGCCTCTTTTAGAACTGGGTTTTCCACTACTAATCCTACCATAACCTGAAAAATGTAAGGCAAGGTGAAAAATATGTTAAAAAGTGCAGAAAATTCATATAGGATATATTTTTAAATTCATAGAAATATTATCCTAAATAGCCTTAAGAAATAGATAATATATTGTCTCACTATCTTAATTCAAAAATGATGTGCAGGTAATTGAGGCTATTCTTTTTCTGTGTTAGGTAACACGGATTTGATTAATCGGGTCTTGCTGGATGCAGGTTTTACAAGTGAACTGGTCCAAAATTATTGGAGTAAGCAGAAAAACATGTAAGTATTTGTTCTTATTAATAAAAATATATGTCCTCCATTTCATATTAGCATCTTTCTGGGAAATCTCTGGAAATAGGTCTCAAATTTAAAGTTCATTATCTATCTATTTTTCTCTGCTTTTATTGAATTTATTAGGATGACATTGCTTAATAAAATTATATAGGTTTCAGGTATACAATTCTATAGTATGTCATCTGTATATTGTATTGTGTGTTTATCACCCCAAGTCAAGTCTTTTTCCATCACCATTTATCTCGCCTTTACCCTCTTCTGCTTCCCCCAACCCCCTCTTCCCTCTAGTAATCACCATGTTGTTGTCTGTGCCATTTTTGTTTTGTTTTTCGGCTTAATCTTTCTACCATTTTCACCCAACCCCACAACCCCACTCTTCTCTGACAGCTGTCTCATTATTTATCTTTAATAACAATTTCTCGAGAAAATCATTTCGCAATTGTTGACAACTTGCATTTGCAATTGTGGGTGTGTGTCAGCAGTAACATTTGCCATTGCTCAGCTTTACACATAGTGTATACACTGCAGTGTGAATAGACATGTTGGTTTGTGTTTCAACATGTATGGTAAAATAGAGTTTCTAGTGAAAGCTCACTTGGCTTTCTAATAGCACTGCCATACACCCAGTGAAGAAACTGAGAAATCTAACTGTGGTTCTCATATACAGTCTTTTCTCTACCCCACTTCCAATCAATCACCAAATACTAAATATTTCTTTTAACAATGTTTTTCTATCTTTTTCATACTCAAGGTCCTAATTTCCATGTCCAAGAACTTACAGCAACTGACTTTTATGTCCTTAGTGCTTCCCATTCCTCCACCTACAACAGCCTCCAGTCTATTCACAAAGCTCACACTTGTCAGTCTTACTTTTGAAATGCAGTTCCAATTTCAGGCTAAAGGTGATTCTCCCCAGCATGGGTTTCAAGATCATTCATGAGCTGACCATTTTTAAGAAGCTTGTACTTGAAACCTTATGTCCTAGTCTTTCTCACCTTGTGCCTTATGGTTTTATCACACCAAATACAATCATTCTTCACTAGCTTTCTCTTACGCATACTCTTTTCACTCCATGTGATATATTCCTGTTTTCGCTGTCATCCCTGTTAACTCCTATTCCATTCAAAATTCAGCTGAATTATTATTTCCTATGATAAGACTTCCTTAAGCATCCTCCCTTTAAGTACTTATTTCTTAGATATTTTAACGATTGAAATGAAATTTCATCTATTGATATATTTACTTTGGCTTTCTATTTTTTAGGACCTTGTTTTATTTTTCTTTGTATTAGTAACACCTAAATTAATACCTTACAAAGAATAAGTTAAGCCCTGGCTTGTGTGGCTCAGTAGACCGAATGCCGGCCTGTGAATTGATTCCCAATCAGTGCACATGCCTGGGTTGCAGGCCAGGTCCCCAGTAGGGGGTACTCAAGGGGCAACCACACATCAATGTTTCCCTCTCTTTCTCCCTCCCTTCTCTTCCCTAAAATAAATAAAGAAAATCCTTAAAAAAAAGAATAACTTGAATAAAATATTTCCTTGTTCTGTCTTCTGTTCCAGCAAGGGGGTGAAAGCACGGTTTGTTGTGACTGATGGTGGCATTACCAGAGTGTATCCCAAAGAGTAAGTTCAAATACTGTAAAAATAAGTACATTACAAAAGATTACTTCAAGAATCTGTGCATTATAAGGAAGCCATTCTTCAGAGAAACTGATCATTATTCATAGATAAATGGAGTCATTGTTTTTAAAGTACTTACATTATTAAAATATTTTATTTTTAAAAAATGCTATTATATGTTCTTCAGTGATGTGTTTGCTTATCATATATATTACATAATTTAAGATTTTAATATAAATTTTTCTCTTCGTAGACACAAACTTACCTAGTTAATGAACATAATGGTTGTAGCCTAAATGCTGTATTTGCATTTCATTGTTTTCACTGTTCTTCAAAAGACCTTATCTGTAACAGTCTGTAAAGTGGCCTGTGCAGGATTATTAATATTAATTGACCAATTAACTCATTTGTCCAGAATTACCTAGTTAGTAAATGGCAAATTAAAACCAAGTGTCAGCTTTTTCAAACCCTTTATTTAATTATGCTGACATATTGCTATGTAACTAGTATCATTTATGCAATCAATTACCACTAAGTCTCTTAGAGATACCTGAGATGTAGACATATCTGTAAATTTCAGTTCTGTCCACAAAGGGAAAATTAAGTAATCGGCTAGATTAAAAAATAAAAATGATGAACCATTGTCTCCTCAGGGCTGGAGAAAATTGGCAAGAAAACCCAGAAACCTATGAGGACAGCTTCTATAAAAGGAGTCTTGATAATGATAACTACGTGTTCACTGCTCCCTATTTTAACAGTAAGTATTACTTTGAAATTTAGTGTTTTCATTTTTTAAAAATAAATTATTGCCACTACCTGCATTCCCTCAAAACAATATATTTATTGTAAGTTAATTGCTCAGAATGATCATTGGTAATTATGTACTGTATGCTGACATTGGAGAGATGGGAGCATCTTTTTAATTGAGGAGGTAAAATGCACATATAGGAAACAGTTATTCAGTGATGTAGAGGACAGGTACCTACAGGTATGCATTATACATAGAAACACAAGTAGATAATTCCTCGTTTTGCAAAGTGCAAACACATTGAAAAATGTTAAGTTTTTTAAATGTAATTAATCAGTTTCTTCCAGTTTTATCAATTGTTAAATATATTATATATAGAAATTAATAATTGCCATATTTTAAAATATTTTATTGTGTTATTTCCCCCCAAAATTTCTAATTTAATTACTCAACCTCTCTAGGAGTAGGTATTATTTTTCCTCATTTTCATACATGGGAAAACTTTAGTTTAGAAAACTTCAGAGTTTTGTCCAGGGACATATATATTCTAAAATGCAAACACAGATTTGAAGAAGCTATGATTAATCTTTCTACTTCAGCTTCCTTCTCAATAGGAAATGCCATGAAGCAGAGATTTGGCATGCACACGTATATTGTGGAATAGATTCAGCCAAGCTGAAAAATTTGCATCCTAAAGTCAATTAATACAAATCAATTCATGGATATTTTAGTTACCTGGTATATGACCTATATCTATCCTAAAATAGTTATCTATTGAAAGAAATTCCATATTATTTGATTTATCTAGATAGGTCTCTTTTCCCTTTTTTTAAGAAAGTGGACCTGGTGCTTATGAATCAGGCATTATGGTAAGCAAAGCTGTAGAAATATATATCCAAGGAAAACTTCTTAAACCTGCAGGTAAGCATATATATTTACATACATACATGTGACCAAAATTAATTGTGACCTAATATTTATATTAAAAATAGTCAGTGCTTATCAGGAAAGCCATCAAAAAGTTTCAGCCAAAATAAAGTCAAAGACAGGAAAATTTTTAAAAATAAGACAAAATACAATCTCCTTGAGATTGGGGATAAAATGAAATGGATGATATCTAGAGGTGAGGAATTTTCAAAGAAGTATGTATGTTTATGCAATGTTTACACAAATTTTTGGAATCAATTTTGTGACATATCATATCAAAATTCTAAATGCTGTATTCATCCAGCAATCCCGCATTACAACATCAACCTGAAAGACAAAAAAATACACTTCCAAGGATGTGAATATTTATAATGATGTAAACATGGAATGTTTAGTTTCCGTCATTGGGGAGTAATTCACATCCCAAAGTCAATTAATACAAACCAATTCATGGATATTCCAGTCCATGTTATATATATGGTATATAACATATATCTATGCTAGAATAGTTATCTGTTGAAAGAAAAGATAAATTATGACATATGTATACCATGTCTATTAAAAGGTATTAGATAGGGATCTACTTTTTTAAAGCTTCAAATAAAATAGAAAATGACTTTTTGCTAAAACAAAACAAATCAAACAAGAAAACAAAACAATTTGTAAAACTGAGCATCAATGGGAATTGGAAGTAGGATGGAATGAGTAAATAGAATAAAATAACAATTGTTATTTTTTCCACTGAATGATTCAGTATCATTGGCCTTTGTTCAAAGAGCATGCATTAGGCTACCTGGAGAAGGTAGATAAATTGCCCTCCTGCTCCTGAGGGCAGTATTATCCCTCATTGGTTCAATTACGTAGGTAGATTCACTCCATCACTTACTCACTAACCAATTCATCCCTTCCTTCATTCACTCAATTGCTTTTATTTACTTAGTTGTTCTCTCAGATATTCATTCTTCTCACCCACTCATCTTCCCATTTTCTCATCTATCCACTTCTCTTCAACAAACATATCTTAAACACCTATTGCATGCATTGACTGGGTTAGGGAAGACTCTTAAGACATCCTGCTTGAATGACCTTATATTTATAAGGCTATTCCTAACACTATCACTTATTTTTAGCCTACCACCTATATTAGTTAATTGGCCAGGTTGTGGCAACTGAATACTGTGCTGTGAATATAAATTGAAGTTTTTTTTTAATTAATTCAAATCAACTTTTCAACATGCAGCTAAAAATAAATTGATTTTTCTTTTTAATCTCAAGAGATTTACATTTGCTTGCTCAGGAATTTTCAAATATAAGAGAAAAAATAAATACATGAGAATCTAAGCTACATATTTTAAATGGATATGTCCATTTTCCTTTTACATAATTTTTCAGTTGTTGGAATTAAAATTGATGTAAATTCCTGGATAGAGAACTTCACCAAAACATCGATCAGGGATCCGGTAAGATAATTTTTAAAAATAAATTATTTTGCTATATACTTAATAATCTCAAATGTTAAGAAAATTAAGAGTAAAATCTTATACAAACACAGGCAAAAGAAATTTTCAGTGCCACTACATTGAAACAGGATTATGAATTATTTTTTTCAGAGATTTTTATTTAATCAATTAACAAACATAAAAAGAAAAATATTTCATTATTATAATTTTAAATGCTGGTGTATATATCTATTAATTGCTATTTTCTGATTTTAAAGATGAAGTCATCTTTTTTATTATGGACTAGACTAATATTCAATCTTACTTTTATACTAAATTATTCTGATTTATAGTTGGAATATGGTAATAATATGAAATAATTAAAATTCAATTTTAAAAAATGTGGTGATAATTATACTTTTGTCTTTCAGTGTGCTGGTCCAGTTTGTGACTGCAAAAGAAATAGTGATGTAAGAAAACACTTTAAAATAAAAATTTTAACTAGAATTTTTCTTGTTACTCTTGCTAAGATTTTATGATTAAAAGATGCAGGGAATTTTAGTCAAATGCTAAAAAAATTACTCTATGGACTTGTGAACTAATTTATAACTTAAAAATTTGAACTAAGTGCTTTTAATGCCTAACTTTAAATGCTTCTATTTTTAAAAATTAATTTATTATGGAAAATAATAACAAAGGCATATCAATATAGATTATATCTATCTCAATTGTGTTAGATTCTTCTGTACATATTTATCTTTACCTTTGTTCCTGGACAGGAAGTTTCTTACCAAAGTGTACTTGTTAGTTACCAATGCAGTGTCCCCCCAACTTCTGCACTTTCTCTGAATTTGTTCAATTCTGTACTTACAATAATGAAAGATGTTTTTTGACTAAACTTAGGAATTTTATAATTCATTATGAAGTTCCACTAACATGGACTAGATTTTTACATTGTCTTATATTTTATTTCTGTTTGAGAGATTGAAAAAGCAAATATGCACTTTCTTTGTTCAAATACTGAAGATGCTTTAAGAATGATACTAGATAAATTATTCATAAAATGAATAAAGAAGGATGAATTCCACTCTTCTAGTCATCTTAGCTGTGTGTGTATATTTCTAATAGAAGCAAGGGGTTTATTTCATCTTATCACTTCTAATCATCAAAATTATAAGCCAGTAACTTTATTAATTTTGTAGTTTGTCCATTTTATAGAGTTTTTGTAAACAGATTATGAAAACTTTGTTTTTAGAGCAAAGGTCTTTAGCAAGATGCTTTCATAGTAGGAAAATGGAATGCATGTGTCCCCAACTCTAAAAACTATGTTTTGTGATTTTTATACAATAAAAATTATTAAATTGATTTATGCATTTAAACATGATTTAAACTAGGTGGGATTTTATTCTAAAATTCATGGGTTAATGTCTTTTTCTTAGTCACAGGCATTTCTTGTTTTGCTGTTTTTTTTAAAATCTAAAATCATTCAACCAACTATTTTTAATATAAAAAAATTCAACCAACCATTTTTAATATAAAATAATTATAAATACCCTCAGGCTGCTGCTTTTTTTATTAAGTCTGTGATGCATGGTAACTAAAATTCATTTAGAAATATTCTTTGTCAGATCTTAAATATGTGCTTAAAATAATAAAATAATTATACATTGTTAAATATTTTGGTCTTTCCAATTTACTGAATCATTCAGATGTCTTCGGAGCGGCAAAAAAGATTACTTCTGATTTGTTCTTATGATCTGTTAAGACTAAGTTGACAGTTTTAACTGGATAGCTAGTGGTAGCTAGTGGTAGAGTACCAAGCCCTGAGGGTTTGATATAAATATTTGTGTACCCTTTATTTCATCAGAATCTCTTGAGCATGTGTGTTCCAGAGAAGACATAGTCATTTTAATTTTTCTCCTCTTGTTGTTATAATCATCTACATATAATGGAGCAATGATTATGCAACCTTCTAACCTTCCTAAAAAATGTATTCACTGCTATTTTTATTTTAATAGGTAATGGACTGTGTAATTCTCGATGATGGTGGGTTTCTTTTAATGGCAAATCATGATGATTATACTAACCAGGTATGTATCTGGAGTGGAAAGAACTAAGGTTCCAAAGTATATTTCTTTGATCAACATTACAAAACTCCTTCATACCATAATGGAAATTGATGAGTTGCTTTATTTTTCTAAATTCTAAACTGCTTAATTGATATAAAACATTAAGAAATAAATTCTAACAAGAGGTTTTCTTATGTTTGTTAGTTTACTTTCATTATTCACAGTAATTTAAACATATAATTAAGGATCTTAACATGATGTGAACTTTTTATTTTTGATCTCTCAGAATTTTAGAATACTTCCATATATATTAAATATTTATCAGTTGATAATGTCTAACTTGATATATGACTGGTATGAAATAGGTGAACTTTCAAATCCCAAATTTGCAGATAGGCAGCACATAGGCTATTTGTTTCACACAGGGTTTTGAACAAAGTGGAACTTGTTGCCAGCTAATTTTATTCCTGAATCTACGTTTCTGGTTCCTCTTTAAAAAAAGAAATTAAAAAAATATCTTTCAATAATGACCTGTTTTCCTAACTGACAATGTTTATGGGCTGGACTTCAAGGTTAAACTCTAGATTAATGCTCCAGGGTTACCCTAAAGGTTGTCCCTGTAGATGGAAAGCATGCCAGGTCACTGCAGTCCCTACGAGTTTTTCTTTCCTAAGTCCCATCCATTTTTTAAAAAAATTTATACTACATTTCTCATCCCCAAGAGGCATTTGACTGTGTCCTAATGCTGAGTAAATTACATCAATTCCTTGCACAAATATCACACACAGCCCTTGAGTAGTAAGAACACCTAAGCTCATTTCCATTGTTCCAGAGGGTCGTATTCTGGCTTACTGCTTGTTTCTGTTTTAAAGTTCCTGAACAGTTTTAGTACATAGTTCTTTGTATTATTTCTTTTTCATTGTACTGGTTTAGGTGTTAATATTTGACTTTAATTTGAAACTTTGTTATGTTTTTCTGTGCTAGATCGGAAGATTTTTTGGAGAGATTGATCCAAGTTTGATGAGACACCTAATTAATATATCGGTCTATGCTTTTAACAAATCTTATGATTATCAGTCAGTGTGTGAGCCCGGTGCTGCACCGAAACAAGGAGCAGGGCATCGCTCGGCATATGTGGTCAGTAATACCCACGTCCCCCTTCCTCTCTAAGAGACACTCAGTGTAGATTAATGCGGTGATCTTTTATTATATTTTCTAGCCATCAATAGCAGACATATTACACATTGGCTGGTGGGCCACTGCAGCTGCCTGGTAAGTCAAAACTGTATTCTTACTGGAAGTAAGAGAAAGAGGTTAAATAGTAAAGAATTTGATGAAAATATGGATTTTGTGACATGTATATATTATGAGGATTACTTTTATTATTTCCAGTAGCACATATTGATAATATTTAGATATAGTTCTTCCTAAGTGATCAGTGTAAAGCTGTTACAATTATTCAGTTTTTTAATATGAAAACAATGTCATGTTCATGCAAACTTCAGCCTGTTCAGAGGTTTTTTTCTTCTACAGGCCCTTTGAAACTCTTCATTTATGTCTTTTCCTCATATTATACTCAATTCCTTAAATTTTAGGTGCATCAATCTCTTCTACTTTGTGCCTTTAGTACGCAAATTAGATGTCTTCACCTATTAAAGTGGTGACACGGTGACTTACCTTTACACCTCATACCATGCATACAAAGGCTGGCATAGTTTTAGAGGCATCATCTTGCTGAAATGGATCTAATTCTTTCTTTTCCTTGATTCCTTCCCCCTACCTCCTTCACCTTCTCACCTATAACCTGCCACCTATGAAAATGAGACATTTAAACTATTTAGTGAGGCACTGCGGAAAGTCTGGAAGATCAAATCTGTCATTGTTTGGTTCTGGTTAGTCAAGTAACTAAACCTCCTGTTGTGTCTGAGATCCTTTCCTACCTGGTTCTTTTGTATCAATTCCCCACTGTATTGGCCAAGCCTGTTCCATGTACGGTAATCTCTAAAATTCATTTGATGTTGAGGCTTTCCCAGCTAAAATTAAATGATTATAAAGTAGCAAAGATCTTGGATTAAAAAGAAACAATTTTTCTGGAAAAAATGTGAAAATGGCTATGTTGTAAAAATTAGACATATGTTTATTGACAAAGGTTTTCTAAACCTTATATTGACTCTGAAATATTTGATTGCCACTATATTATTTTTAGCCAGAGTATCTCCCTACTCACCACCCACCGTTTTTTTTTAAACTAAATGCAGTTCCAGATTGATCTATCCTACTATCTAATATTTATTAATTGTCTTTTATTATAAAACTGAAATGTGTCATGCCATATATAGGTATGTATATTTTATTTCATAAATGTCACATTATGTATTTACAAATATATTCTATATTATAAAGTAAATAGTTCATAAACCCATGACAAAAACTCATTTTTATTTGTTTTTAGGGATTTTCTTCCACCACAGAGTTTTAAAAACTAAATGAAAGAGAAAATCCTGACTGTGAAACCTATTCTCCCTCTTAAACTTACCATGCCTCCTTACACATGTGTTCCTCATTTGGTTCTGAAAATCTGACTTCATGACTTCTTCAACACAAAATAATTTACAATGTTATGTATGATTTAAGAAATGCTTATGTAAAATGCTTCTAAGCTTTTTATTTGCAAATTCACAATTTTTCCCAGAAAGATGAAAAATAAATGTGTTTATATGAATATGCAAAATTCCTCAGGTTTTTATTATATAATTTAGAAAGGAAAATATGTAGATTTTTACCAATAATTACTCACATTTAAAATTCAGGTCTATTCTACAGCAGTTTATCTTGAGTCTGACCTTTCCACGACTCCTTGAGGCAGGTATGTAAATGCTCAGGTATTGTGTCATAATAGTAATCAAAATTTTCTTTTTGGATCTGCTGAATTTAAAAAACTCAGTGAGGAGGAGGGGGGGTTTGTGTGTGTGTGTGTGTATGTGAGAGAGAGAGAGAGAGAGAGAGAGAGAGAGATCATCCACTAGACACTTGTAGGTTAAAATCTTTTTGTCAAAACTTTCCTATCTCACATTGGCCTTTATTTTGTAGTTGCTATATATTTGAATTAATTTGCTTTATTGAAATTTTGGGGGCACCTATTAAGGGCTGCCACTATATTACACACCAGTAAACAGGCCAATCAAGGTGCCTGCCCTTATGCAGCTGTTTGCTCCGTGAGAAATGAAGGCTCTGGGGGACTGCCCTGTAGTGTCCCCTCATGGTAGTGGTCTTTGTTTCCCCACAGTTGAGATGGAAGATGATGACTTTGCAGCCTCTCTGTCAAAGCAGAGTTGCATTACTGAACAAACGCAGTATTTCTTCGATAATGATAGTAAATCATTCAGTGGTGTATTAGACTGTGGAAACTGTTCCAGGTAATTTTTTTCTTCATTTCTGGACCATTTCTACAATATTTCACTAAGAAACTGTATTCACTTTTATAATCATTAGAGAAAATAACAGATTGTTGTTGAGTCTGAGAGATAAGTAATTGTTTTCAGATGAAAACATCAGAGATCTCCACTTTCCCTGCAGGCTTTTTAAATTTACAATTTTTAAAATTAATTCTAACTTTCATCAGTTATCCTTTCCACTGCAATATGTGGTCAATAAACCAGTACCCACTTTTAGGCAGAACATAGAGAAATTATATTATTTAAATGTATTTTTTGTCTAAAAGAACCCATATTAAAATTTTTCTATTAGGAGTTACAGAATTAGTCTAATAAGATTAGGATTAATTACATCAGTAATTCTAAGTAATTCTGTCAAATATATGATTTTTTTTACATATAGTTAATAAACAGATTTACATAAAGATATTCAGGGGTGTGTGTTCTAATCCTAGTCTTCTCTAAAATTTAAAATTGAAGTTATGTTTGATTGGAAACTGGAAGAACTGGGAGAAAGTATTTTCTAAGGTCAAAGTTTATGTTAGTCAACAGTATCTATAAAGCATCTTGAGTTTTTTGCGGGGGAAGCTGGAGAATTTAATTTGGTTGTAATGGGATAGGGGAGAAAGGCAAGGTGGGGATTTTTGAAGTTTGAGAGGAGAGTGATAATCCCTGTCACAGGAGCCCTGAGAATGGAGCAGAAAGGCACAGTTAAGAAGGCAGAGTCGGGAAACGTGGTTTTTAGTGACTGCCGGCTGGCTATTCTAGAAGAAATGTTAACATAGGAGAGAGGAAATATGAGGAGGTGAGGTAATCTGAGCATGTGAAAGGGCTGGAATTGTTGGTTGCTAGGGATTTAAAAAAGAAGTTTATAAGTTAAAAAATAATTTCAGGAATGGGTTAACTGAAACTTCCATGAACTTTTAATAGACGTGGTCAGTATGATTTTATGGCTTACTTTAGCTAACCTTTATGCCATAGGAGGAGGAGAGGGTATGAAAAGGCGAAGAACAGGGAAGACATTTAGGCACGAATTCAGAAAAAAGCAGACCATCTTGTTTAGAGATTAGTACATGAGGCTAGCAACTTCAGGAAACGGCATTATAGTGTGTCTTACGGGTATATCAGAAAGAAGTTCAGAGTCTTTGAGCCTTTCATTATTGATATCCAGTAATAGTAATGTCACTTAGAAATTGGCTAAATTGCAAAGATCAATATAATCTTAGAAATTGGCTAAATTGCAAAGATCAATATAATCAAGATATTAGATTGAATCACGTTTTTTGTTTTTATTTGCTTTTTGCTTGTGTCCTAAGTTCATTGGGTAGGGGGACAATAAAAATCTCACTTCTTTGAGAATATATAACCATAACAAAATCACTCTTTTACAACATATTTACATTTTTATCTTGGTTGCTAAAGAAGGCAGAAGCAGCTAAAGATGTAGGAAAATAACATTTCATGGACTCTGAAGCTCTAGATTTTGTCTATATCTGTGACGTCCAATTCCATAATTACCAACCATGGTTGGCTATTTCAATGATCAATTACAATTAATTAATATTAAAATTATGCGCCTCAGTCACACTAGTCACATTCCAGGTGCTCGATAGCCTTATTTTTCTTTTTCTACCATATTGGATAAAGCAAAAAATATTTCCATTTTCACAGAAAGTTTGCTGAACAACATGATTCTAGTCTTTACCATTAGCTTGGGCAAGATGCTTAGTTATATTGGTCCTTTCAGTTCTCTTTGTAAAACAAGGCAACTTTGGCATATTTCCAGTGATAAATAACACAGTTTTCTAAACATGTTTTTCTATGAGTTTCAATGACTAGTGCTCATTTTTCATTGAGAAATAACATTTAAAAAAACACTTCAAACATCTATTGCAGTTATTTAGTATTTATTTGAGAGAGGCAATATGTGCATACTAGCAAACAAAACACAGTAATTTATCTCCTAAAATCATTCTCATTCTGTTTTACTGTTTGTGCTGGTGATGCTTTATGTTTAAAGATGTGATCTTTTGTCTTTCATTTTATATATTAAGAATCCTTGAAAGACCTTTCTTTCCCAAAAAATAATGTTGTTATATTTTAATATTTATTTTGCAGAATCTTTCATGTAGAAAAACTTATGAACACCAACTTAGTATTCATAATGGTTGAGAGCAAGGGGACGTGTCCTTGTGACACACGACTGCTCATACAAGCAGAACAGACTTGTATCCTTTGACAACAGAGATGTTTGGAATGGAAAGCCACCTTATTATAAAGCAATGCATTTTTAACCTTGTCATATTGTTTATGCTCATAAAAAGAAAAATATTATAAAGTGATCACCTCAGAGAGGCCAAAGGGGCCCCTCATGCAAAATTTGACTTGTATGTCAAGTCAAGGAACATGTATAAAGGACGCAGGGACAAAGCCAAAGTGGGGAAGGATTGAGGGGGGAAGCGGTGGTGGGTGGGGCAGGGGAAAGTGGCGGCAGGAAAATGGAGACAACTGTACTTGAACAACAATAAAAAATAAATTAAAAAATTTTTAAAAAGGAAAAAAAAGGCTGATATTGGTACACATGCACCAAAAGGACGTGAAAGGTTTCTTACTCACATAATGCAGTTTGGTGGAGAGAGCAGTGCAGGCCCCCAGGTAGATCTCAAAATGGCTTGAGAGCAGGGAGAAGCAACTGGTTTGGGATTGTTATGGTGGTTAGGCAGTGGTGCTGGGTTCATGCCATGCTGCCTGGGGCTTGTGTGGTTAGAACTTCCCAGGCAGTGGCAAAGGAGGGAAACTTCGGCTTGTCCAGATGTGGGGCAGAAGGGAAAAAAGAGTGTTGTGGCTTGCACCCTATCAATAATCAATCATCCAAAGTAGAGTCAGATATGGTATATACATACAATGGAATATTATCTGGCCTTAAAAAAGAAGGAAATCCTGTCATATGCTACAACTGCAATGGCGATAACACTAAAACTACTTCTAGTGGTAAACATGCAAAATGACATGCGATGACTATTAAGACATTACATGTACATTATAGGTACACAGAGGTTCTGTAAAGTATCTATAATATTTGCATTTACCAGCACTGTTTTTGAAAAAAAATTAGTTCTCACCTATGTTTGGAATTGACGTTTATCATAAGGAACAGACTTCTGCTTCTGTCTTACTAAATAGAGTGCACCCAGGTTCTCCCTTGTGCTATTTTACAAGCATGGCCCTGTCTTACACACTCTGTATCATATGTACATTCCATCCACTTATATTCTACAGATATTTATTGAGTACTTCATATGTGCCAGGAGCCATATACAGTAAAAAATCAAAAAGTTGATCTCTAATTTGATCTCTTTGCACAGCCCCTTCTCTGACAAGAAAAAATGTGTGGCTATTTAATTCCTTAAATCCCTAAGTACTTGAACTGGTTGTGTTGGGCTAGAATAATAGCATAGATATTTCTTACTTGCTTTGGGAAATAAATAAATTGCATTTTTTATTTTTAATTGTGTCGGGAGAAAAAGTAATTTCATATTCCTTAACAAGTGTCTAGCTGATGGTCCAGATCCTTGCGATATGGTTAAGCAACCCAGATACCGAAAAGGGCCTGACGTCTGCTTTGATAACAATGACTTGGTAAGACCAAATATTTACTGTATTAAAATACTTTTTTCTCAATAGTTGTTGTCCACAAGAATTTCAGGAGCCATAGTGTTTCTCATTAACATGTACTTTTTGGTAAATTGATTTTTCATTTCAATATTTTTCATGGTTAGCATAAGCTAAGAGTTGCTTCTTTTATCTGTTCTTTTCAAGAAATTGTACTTTCAAATGCAATTCTAATCAATTCACTCATAATCCAACATTATTAATCTGATAATTTTAAAGACTTTCTAAAAATACTAATTGGCAGTAACTCTGACTTATGGCATATGAGTTGCCTACCTTTATTTATATTCCAAACTTGAAGATATGAAAGTTATTTTTATTAGTTTGGGTTTAGTCCTCATTCTGGGTATTTAAAAACTTATTAAACAGCCATTGTCCAATTATTTTATAATTCTACATTTTTTGTCGTGGTTTCTGATTCTATTATATATTAGATTTATATTCTTTCTTTTAACTGTATTAATTTTTATACTGTTGAAATTAGACAAGGTCAGTTACACAGGCTTGATAAAATTTTACAAATCACATTTAATATGTTATTTAAACATACTGCTAATTTTTCTATAGGTCAGCTGTTTTCCTCTCCCACTATTCTGACTTACTGTGTCTATAATCAGCTTTATGCTTTTCAAATGATTTTGGTTCAGAAACTTTATGCTCAAACACAAAGGCTACATACCTGCCGACTTAAAAAATTAATTTTAAATACAATATTCCTCAATTCTCTGATTCTTCAAATTGTGCCTTTGTATTTAGCGGCTTGTACATATCAATAAACATGAAAACGTAGAGTATTATCATTGTAGGAATTGTTTATTCTAAAAACAGGCCCAATTTGTTAATGATTAATGTACATTTATACAGGCTGTTATTTATTTATTACAGACTTACCTACTATATACTGCTTACTTACTGAATATCCATAGCCACATTTGTCCCAGCAAGAATAATGTATTTCCATATATACACATTATGTAATCAGATAATATAAATTAGAATTGGAGCAAAGAAGAAATGCAATTAGTGATGGAGATAAGGCTTAAAAAAAAAAGATGTTTTAACAAGTAAGTTATTTCTTTGAGGACTACTGATCATTCCTCTTTGCTAGGGAAAGTGATACGAAGTTGCAGCTAATTGTTCTTTTTCATTTTACCCAGTTAGACTTAAATGAAAGCCAGATATGAGGACTCTGTTGTTTTATCTACTACACGTTCAGGAGCTTTGCCCATGTCAAATTGCTCCCCAGAGAATGTAGTACGTCGTCCAAAAGGTAGTGTCACTCATTGGGGAAACCTCCCTCATCAGCTCTTTGCCATCAAAGACTTAGGTTAAATTCATTCAGATGAACTTTAAAGATCATATAAAAACCTTTTTTACTCAAAAATATTTTCACCCTAGGAAACTCCATATATTGATCAAGGCATTAAAAAGATTTAAGAAAAAATTTCAATAATTGAAGTTCCTCTAAATTACATAGTGGATTGTGTATGAAAGTACAACTGCTCAGTAGCTTAATGTGCTAATAATATCTTGTGTTTCTTCAGCAGTGGAATATTTTGGTAATGCTTATTTGCAATGGTCACTGTGAATCTGCTCTGGATGGAGGCTCACATAAACTGCTAACTGCCAGCAAATTGCATGAAATCTCATCTTGTATGTCTTCTTTTTTGTGTTTTCTTTCTTTTTCCTGTACTTGCTACTTTGCCCGTTATTAATAGGATCAACTTATATGCACAACGAGTCGTGCCTGTACCATGATGTCAGCTCCTATCTTCATTTTACTGCAAGTTTTCATGTGGTGTGGATGGTCAGTCACTTTCTCTAATTTCTCTTTGCTTTTGTGTTTGGCTTGAACTTTTAAAAAATAATCCATATTCCTAAGTGCACTGTGTCCTGAAACCAGGTCATTAAAATCCCAGTACTAATGTTGTTTTGTAAATTGCTAATTTCAAATGTTGCATAAGTTTCTAAACTTAAGCAATATAACAGCAACCTATATTTATTTAAAACTCAGAATTTTCTCATAGGGTTTTCAATAACCATTGTCAATGTGGAGAAAAAATTATACATGCTTCATGATGTCTAAATTTTACTAAAGACAGATATCCTAAGGACAAATATTAGAGCTGGTCATCTCAATTTATTTTCAAAAGATGCTAACATAAAATTAATGGACCATTTTAATTGTATAAATCATTACTTAATAACTCAATAATTCTAATTTTTCTTTTCTTTTTTTAAACAAATATGGTTTAAATGACTTTTTTAGGATTTTACTATGAAAGTATCAATGCTCTTACTGAAATATTTTAGTGTAAGTGCTTCCAACTGCTATGTTTATTTTACTGAACATTACTTACATTATCTAAAGCAAAATTATCATTATTTATTAACCTTTTTTCATTTATCTGAATTACATAATCAATATGACTAAATAGATATTTTAGGGCCTGAGTTTGGGTTCCGAGCTCCATTTATAGTTTTGCAGTGTCTTTTCTGATGCTGTCAATTCACCGTGATTATAGTTACTAGAACAGCTTTGGTTGTGTTCTTGCATCATTGCTACCCAGGTATTCATTGATTAGGAACCACTAGATGGAGATGTGGCCATTACTATGAATGGAGCGAGCTTATCAGAGGGGGGGAAAAAAAGAAGAGTAGCAGAGGGATATTCAGAAAATAACTGAACTTGTGCTAAGATAATAAAATAATGGTTTTCACAGCAAAAAAAAAAAAAAAAAATTCAAGGGAAGGAAACCTATGGGATTTACATACTACAAAATATTAAATTATCTCTCTGTATGAGCATATTTTAAGTTGATATCTAGGTAGCTATTTTAAATACCATTGACCCCTTAAAGAATTGATACCTTAAAGAAGATTACTTAGGTAATCATATCATTTACATATTAAAAATGTTACAACAATCACATTTTCTATGATTGTCCCTATTTGTAATCATAATAGAAATGAACAAACTAAAGCTCAAGGGTAAAAAATTATTATATTTTATAGGTGAAGAATAGTGTAAAAATTTACCATATTTTCAAAATTTTACTTCCCTCTAACATGCATGTTAACTTCATTTTTGAATAGGTCACTTTCCACTTTACCATTACCTTAAAAATCTATAGGTAAAAATGAATTTTTTTTACCTAATACTCCCCCAAAAATATATTTTAAATTTTCCTAAGAAATATTTTTCTTTCTTATAGTCAGTATAAATTTACCAAGAAAATAAATACCACCATGGACCTAACTGGATAAGATCCATATATTTTAATGAAATAACTTTTGAAAGATGAGAAGAGCACATCTGGGATTCTGTGATATTATTTTGCTTGAGGAATACATAATGGTAGTCTTGGAAGATGCTGTAGGTGACATATACTTTACATTAACAAGACTCGGAGTGGGCATTTTAAAAACAGTCATCATTTGGGAACAGTGAACCCAGTCTATGCAATTCAAATGTTGTTATGATGATAGGAAAGGAAGCGTGTTCTCTGAAACAATAGAAAGTTGATAAAAATAATAAAATATTCATCCCCCAGAAAAACAACCAAGAAATTAATTGGCAATTCTTCCTCACACTTAGGATCAATGAATGTAAAATCTAAACTTCAGTGTTAATCTATCTGTAACTAGGGATTTGTATGAATTAGATTATGCTCACAAAAAAGCTGGGAAGGTGGGATCATCTTCTAAAGAGCGACATCTCTCTAAGCATTGAAAGAGCGACTCTGTCTAAAGCAAAGACCCTCACGCTCTGTAGAGTCCAAAAAGGATACAGATTGTAGGTATCTAATTATGAAGCCCCATATAATGAGGACTTTATTAAAACACAAGTGTTTAAGTGAGACCTTTTGACAAGAGTTTTTTGAAGAATTAAGTGGTAAAAAGGACAAACATAAAATAAACAAAGTTAAAGTTTGTTTATCAAAGAAAAAATTAAAGCAAGTCAATAATATAAATACGTGCCATTGAGGAAGTTCATTATTTTATTTGAACCTAATTTATAAAAACACATGATTGGATACATGAAAAATTATTATGCAGAAATAAATGTGTGTATACACACATACATTTAAATAATTAACAAATATACTACCTACCTCCTCAGTTAATGTGATAAGTATGTTAAGGTGCTGCATAAATAATTTGAAAACAAATTATTTGTTGGTGAATTTTATAGATTTCTCTTTGAAGCTGCTATGGATGAGTTAAGTGCAGATGTATCTAAATTCAGTTAGCCGTTATTAGGTAGATGTTTTCACTAGTGATTTGCCTTTTGAAGGAAATGTAATTCAGAAAAGAAAGGGCAAAACTTTGTAGTCAAATGAACAGAAAATTTTCTCTTGGGAAAATTATTTATAAACTTATTTAAATAAATAAAAATTATTGTGCTCTTAATATGTGCATTTAGTTATCCCAGGTCCTGGTTGTTGAAAGAAAAGCTGAGTAACAGTTTAGTAATACTTGTTTAATGTGGGAAAACTGAAAAGATTTGAGCCATCAGTATACAAGGTTTTAAGAAGTCAGGCTTGGGGCAAAATCATATGCATATAACTACAGCTTGGGTGTTGATTTTCTTTCTAATGAGTAATTGAGAAGAAATAGAAATGAGAAATTTTCAGTGATATCTTTATTATGAATCCTTTGAGAGACATCCCTAGGAGGAAATCTAGTAAAAGTACTCTATTGTATCTTAAATTAACAACATACAGCAGTGGGAAAAAGTCGGTTTATAGTTGTAATACAAATAAATAATACAATAATTAATAAATAATAATACAAGAATAAACTTACGTACTCAAAACTGTAAACCTACTTTTGCTCACCCCTGTGTGTGTGTTTATAAAATTTTGGCACTGCACTGTTTTCCTATGTTAATGTGTCATACTGAAACAATCTCTTATTTTCTACTATAGTAATCTTTAAAAATCAGACTTGATTTATCTGGTCAT